CGCCCGGATGCGCGGCCCTCCCTCCGCCGGCCGGGGTCCTGCGGGCTCGGGGCGCCGTGAGGCAGCCGCTCCGCCCCGCGCCGCGCCAGGCCCCGATCCGGCCGCGCACGCGGATGCAAAGTTTCGGGGGAGGGTCGCGGAGCGCCCCCCTGTCCGCGTTTTCTGCCTGTGAGTTGCCGGGCGGAAGGGAGAGCGGGAACCATGTTAGCAGCGTGACGATCCGGTTCCCGGAGGCTCGGACTCGCCGGTCGCTGGAAGCCGGGCCCGCGGGAGCCTGCGGGGCGCCGCGCTCGGAGCAGGGCGGGCCCGTCCTGGCCGGGCGGGGGGGACGCTGCGGGGGCTTTCCACCCGGGGACGCGCTCCGCCGGGACGACGTGGTCGAGCCCCTCGTGTCACTTCCATGCGAATCCCCAGACTCGTGACGCGTCAACTTCTTTCTGTGTCAAGCGTGACACTCGCATCAAGAGCCCTCCAGTCGGAGTTCATGCCCAGAATTTACGGATGTAAAGGAAGGTACAGCACTGCTTGCGCTCAGCTTGAGTGACCGAGATCTCCTAACTGCCTCAATTATGAATAGAAGCAGCAAATCACAGTCATATTGGTGACTGTCACCTCGAGACACCACAACTGTTTTCTTATCACATTCCTCTTGTTGGCAGGTATCTAGAAATACTGGTAATGCTCATTTCTTCAAAATGACAGTCGTTCTGACACATCCCTGAACTTGTTATTTAAGAGAAGCACATGCAGGCATACCTCTTTTTTATGGCGCTTCCCAGGTGCTGTCATTTTTATAAACTGCCGGCAAGACCCTCCACCAGCAAAAATAGAGCTCCTACTCGCTTTATTGCGGAGGTCCGGATCCCAGCGCAAGTTTACTGTTTAAAACTAGGGTGATAGAATTGGTTTCCGGGTAAATCTTAACGTGTTGTCTGTGTGTTTCATAGTAATATTCAAAGAAGAGTCCAGAGACTTCACGACATTGCAGAAAGGGCGTCAGGCACAGAGAAGGTTTAGAACCCCTGTTGTAATGAAGAACAGCGGTCTAGGCTTGCCCGGCTTCTCAGTTTTGTAGGAGTCTCTAAATTCTGGGTATTTTAAATAATGATTTTATATATTTACACTGCTGGATTTTAAGTTCTAGGCACTTTCTTTTTTTGTTATCTGCTCTATAGACAGTGGCTTGAGAGTGTCATATACACTTTGGAGGGTTTTAGAAAACAGGTTCCCCTAGTGAAAAGTCGTTAAACTGAAGCCTCTGAGAAAATAATAACATACATTGTAGAAAGTGCTGTCCTAAAGCCTTTTGACACCTTGTGGGTACAGCTGAACTCTTAAGGACACAGCTTGGGGTCATGTACATTCAGCTGACCCCAAGTGGCGAGTACCATATGCTTACCTCTTTGTAGAGATTTGGAGGAGGGGATGAAAACAAGGTATTTGCTAAATTTTGATCTTGAGGGATAAAGGAAAACAAGCCAGCTAGCCAAAAGATAAAAATTGTAATTAAGAAACCCTATTTTCATTGTACAAACAGCTATATTGTATCTAAAATTTTTACAAAACATTTAATATTTAAAACAGTTCCTTTAGGAAGAAGTTTATAATTTACTTTTTTTTTTTTGCACAATTTCATTAGGAACACATTTTAAAACAGGTTGTGACAACATCTACATTTGGATCTTGTCTAATATCTAAAAGGATAGGTATTGTGAGAGAACTGTCCAGTAGCTTTCCGAGGGAGAAAACCCTATACTTCCTGTTCTGGAAGATGAAGAATGAGACTGATTTCATTTGTCACTTTAGAACCTTCTTTTTAAAGGGTAGTATCAATTTGGTAACGATGTAGGGGCATGCTTCCAAAGACTATACAAATTCAGGTAATAAGCATTTCATTTTGGTTTGATCATTTAAAGATGTATTGTTAGATGTGAGAAAAGTCTTTTTGTTACCCAGATATTATGCCTATGGCATCCTTTTAAATTTGTTTTGAGACTTTGGACTATGTTTCAAAACTAAAATCATCTTAAATTTCAAAGTCTTAACTTGATGCCTAACAACAGGGTAACTATTTTTCCATGTGTGTAAAGTGCTGTTCTCTACTATTTCCTAAAATGTAATTATGTATATATATTCCATTCATTCCAATCTAATTAGTGCCCCAAATAAAGGAAAAGTCGTTTTTTTTTTATTACTCAAAATAAATGCTTTTTTTTATAGAACAAAAATTCAGCAAATTGGGATATCTGCAGTGGAAATGTACACTGTTCATAGACCTGTGATTTAGTGTGCTATACTGTAAAATACACTAATACTAAATTTACAACTTAAGCTCTGAAGTTTTTAGAAAGAATACTTACTAGAAGACCTATGTTTCATTGTTGCCTGATATAAAACCAGTGAACCATATTTTTGTGTTTCGTTTGTTTCTCTTAATTCGGTTTTTCCTATCTGTATTAAACTGGTATTAAATTTATCAAACATCATGCAAGTTTATTACAGATAGTTTATACTAATATTACATGTTATATACAGATTACATACACACAGTTTATACCAATGACTAGTAAAAAACCAAATCAAAATACCTATACTGCACAGAGAATTTAGATTGGCTAAAACTTTGGTTCTACTACTCCACTTGAGTCTTGGGATAGACTAGAGTTAAGCTACTTGAGGCCCACATACACAGAAAACCTACTAGACCTAATAAGTGAATCCAGCAGTATTGTACAATATAAGATCAACATACAGAAATCAACTATATTTCTATACACTACCAATGTGCAATCTGGAAATGAAATTAACAAAACAATTCCATTTATACTAGCATCAAAAAGAATAAAATACTTGGGAATAATTTTAACAAAAGAAATGTAAGACAAAACTAATAGTAATGACTGTCAACTGTAATTGAAAAAAGAATATATGTAATAACGTAAGGCAAGAATATTTTTAACAAAAGAAATGTAAGACTTGTACACTTAAAAATACAAAATATCACTGAGAATAATTAAAGAAGGCCTAAATAAATGAAAAGGAATCCTATGTGTATAGATTGAAAATCTTAATATTCTTAGGATAGCAGTATTTTTAAATTGATCTACAAAATTAGTGCAAGCCTATCAAAGTCCCAGCTGCCTTTTGTTCAGAAAAACATATGGAATTGCAAAGAACCCAAAACAGCCAAGACAGTTTTGATAAAGAGCAAAGTTGGAGGGTTCACAACTCCAAATTTCAGAATTTACTACAAGGAAACAGAAATTAACAGTGTGGTGCTGGCATAAAGTTAAACATATAATCAATCAATGGAATAGAATTCAGAGTCCAGAGTAAATCCTTACCTTTTTGGTCACTGTGTTGTCCATGGGTTCCCAAGACAAAGGGGAAATAACAGTCTCTTCAACAAATGGTGCCAGGAAAAATGGGACAGCCATGAGCAAAATAACAAAGTGGGACTCCTCCCTCATACAATAGACAAAACTAACTCAGAATGGATGAAAGACCCAAATGTAAGAACTAGAACTATGAAACTTATAGAAGAAAGCATTGGAGTTAATTGTGACCTTGAACAATGCAGTTGTGTCTTAGATATGACACCAAAAGCACAGCAACAAAAGAAAAAATAAACTGGACTTGATCAAAATTTAAAACTTTTGTGATTAAAAATCCAGCATAAGGAAAGTGAAAAGGGAACCCACAGAATGTGAGAAAATGTTTGCAAATGATGTATATGAAAAGGGACTTGTATCAGGACATATAATTTTTGAATCTCAATAAAAAGACAACCCAATTTGAAAGTGTGCGAAGGATTTGATTATTTCCCCAAAGAAAATATATAAATGGCCAATAAGTCCATGAAAGGATGTGTAACATTAGGCCATTACTGCATGAGCATGTCAGAATGCTAAAACTAGTTTCTAGGGAGTTGGGAAGGAAGGTAGATTGGAAATCAACATTAACATCTTTTCGTATTTCAGTATCTCTTTGAGAGTTGATAAATGTGTAAAGCACATTTCTTTTACCAAAATGCACAATTTATAACGTAAGTATAGTAACTTTTCCTTAAAATATTATGTGTAATTATTTCTAAATATACGGCCTTTAATGCACTCACCTTTTGATTAATGAGAGAAAAGTAAAAGAGAAACTACCCATTCCTAGGAGATCTCCGAGAATTATACAATATTGTGTCTTTGGTCATTAAAGAGAGCTTATTAAGGACTTGCCTTATGTAGGACTTGCCTATAAAGTACTAAAGGGACATTAGCAGCTATTTAGGATTTCTGTGTAGGTTGTAGGTTGACATGCAGCTAAGCTACTAATTTGAAAGCATTAGTCTTTTCTCCTTGTATGGAACTGTTACATATATTATGGCCTAAATAAAATCTGAGTAAAGAGATTTTTTATAAAGACTATACTGACTATATATTTTTGTTCCATGTTTGTTTTTTTAAAAGAAACTATAGAGACACTGAAACCAAAGGAGAGATTTTTAATTCCTTAGTGCAATATTTTGGTGATAATTTGGGGCGAAGAGTTAAAGCTATGCCATTAGTTGAAGAAACTTCTTTACTTGAAGATTCATCAGTGACTTTGCCTATGATTGTAATAGGTAAGTTACTCCATTTTATCTTACAATTACAGTTAATATCCTTTTATAAATGTAGTTGTAAAACACAAGTTCTTAGGACTGTATTGAAAAGCATTATTAGGTTGACATGTTAAAACAACTAGTAGCCAAATATTTAGAAGAGTAATTGGTGTATCTGATATTAGGCCCTGTGTTAGAATGCAACATCCTTCCCTTGAAGGATTGATATTACTCTGTTATTTTAAAATACTGTCAGTGGTGTTGCTTATATGAAGTGTCACAGTAATGATGATAGTCAGTATTGTTAGTGCGTTGAGTACATAGGAGATTGGACCTACCACCCTATCGTCCTCTGACGTAGTGTGTGTGTGCAGACAGGGAAACAGAAGTTGAGAAAGTTGTGCAAGTTAGTAACCAGTGCTCAGTAATAAACAATTGGTACTTTGCAGTAATGTTTGTAATTACCTTAGTCATAGATTTCTATTATGTATCCTTTACACCACCTCAAGAGATAAGCATATATTAAAAATTAAGCTATTAATAAAACCTAATTCAGAATTATAAAGGTTTTTATGATTGTTTCATTGCATGTATTTAATTACCTGTCATGTATAACTTCCACCTAATATTCACACTCACACAAGATAGGTATTATAGTGTGAAGCTAAGCTGAAGGAAAGAAATATGGGACATAATGTACCTCGATGGCAGACGACTACCTTAGTTTCTTTGATAGTCTGTTTCAGAGTTAGTGCGAAGGAAGAAAAGTCCTCTCCTCCGACTGGCATGTGGGAGATTCAGTAAAGGAAGGAAGGAAGCAATGTGCAGATTTTTGTATGGCCATTCAATTTTCAACTCATTTGGGTAAATACCTAGGAGGGGGATTGCTGGATCATGCGATAAGACTATGTTTGGTTTTTTAAGAAATGGTCAAACTGTCTTCCAAAGTGGCTGTATCATTTTGCATTCCCAGCAGTTATGAGTTCCTGTTCCACAATCTTGTCAGCATTTGGTGTTGTCTGAGTTTGGGATTTTAGCCATTCTGATAGGTGTGCAGTGGGGTCTCATTGTTTTAATTTGCAGTTCTGTAATGACATATGATGTGGAGCATCTTTTCATGTGCTTATTTGCCAGCTGTGTTTCTTTGAGGTAGGTGTCTGTTCATATCTTTTGCCTACTTTTTAAATTAATTGGGTTGTTTCCTTATGGTTAAGAGTTAAGAGTCCTTTGTGTAATATTAGAAACAAGTACTTTATCAAATACATGTCTTGCAAATATTTTCTTTCTGTGATTTGTGTTTTCATTCTCTTAACAATGTCTTGCATAGCAGAAAATTAAAGATTTCTAAAGTCCTGCTTATCAGTTTTTTTTTTCTTTCATGGATCCTGCTTTTGGTGTTACATCTAAAAACTCATTACCAAACTGAAGGTCACCTAGATTTTCTCCTGTTATCTTCTAGAAGTTACATAATTTTGTTCCTTATATTTAGGTCTATGATCTGTTTTGAGTTAATTTTTATAAAAGAGGTTAAGTATCTAGATTCATATTTTTGCATGTACCTGTACATTTGTTCCAGTACTATTTGTTGAAAAGTCTGTCTCCATAGGATTGCCATTTCATCTTTGTCAAAAATAAGTTGACACTATTTGTGAGGCGCTCTGTCTGGTTCCATTGATTTGACCATTCCTCCATCATTTCCGCACTGTCTTGCTGACTGTATTCTTATAGCAAGACTTGAAGCTGGATGGTTTCAGTCTTTACTTTGTTCTTCTATATCGTGTTGGCTATTCTGGGTTTTTCCCCTTTCCATTTAAACTTTAGAATCAGTTTGCCAGTATCCACAAAGTAACTTGCTGGGATTTTGATACGGAATATCTTTCCATCTACTTAGATGTTCTAGATTTTTTTCATCAGTTTTGTGGTTTTCCTCATATAGATATTACATGTATTTTGTTAGGTTTATATCCAAGTAGTTCTCTTTTTGGTGCAAATATAAGCAGTGTTGTGTATATAATTCCAAGACTCACTTTCTCATTGCTAGTATATAGGAAAGTGGTTGGTTTCTGCATATTAACCTTGTATCTTGCAACCTTGCTATAATTGCCTGTTCTGGTTTTTAGTCAATTCTTTTGGACTTTCTATGTAGATAATTTTGGCATTATGTACAAAGACAGTTTCATTTTGTCCTTCCCAGTCATACTTTTTATTTCCTTATCCTGTCTTATTGCATTAGCCAGAACTTCCATCATGATGTGTGTTGAGCAGGAATAGTGAGAAGAGACATCCTTGTCTTATTCTTAATCTTAGAGGAAAAGCACTTAGTTCCTCACCATTAAGTAGGATATTATTAATAGCTGTAGATTTTTTGTAGATACTCTTACATGCTGAGGAAGGTCCCCTCTATTTGTAGTTTGCTGAGTTTTTATCGTAATTCAGGGTTGCATTTTGTCAAATGCTTTTTCTGTATCTGTTGATATTATGATTTTTCTTCTTTAGTTTTGTCTCTTTTTCAGTCAAGGAAATTAGCTCTTTGCCTCAGGTCTTTACTCCCACTATTTGTCATTTGTTTATAATTTTTACAAAGGCAAATGGTTTATTTTCCTGTCTTTTGAGTTTTGTGTCATACTTAAATGCTACCACTCCAGCATTATAAGTAGAAATCTTACCCACTTTCCTAATATTCTTATGTTTTTACTTTTTATATTTACATCTTTAAGCTTATTTTATTTGGGATAAAATATTAGGTGAAGAAAAGGATTTTTTTCCTGTGACTCACAACTTTCCCAGTTTGATTAAATTTTTGATAGATGTAGATAATAGAGAAGGGGCAACCCAGACTAAAGGAACTACAGAAATGGAAGTAGTTCAACAGATTCAACAGAAAATCCAGTTTGGTTTTAGTTAAAGCATATAAAAATACAGGAAGGCAGTATTAAGAGATGGTTGAGACTAGAACATGGAGAACACTGGGTATCAGAAACAAGCAGTTAAGACCTTTAGAGGGTATAATATGCTGAAGAGCGTTGTGTTACCAAAACTCACCGGAATGTAGAAAGTGAAGTGATTTTGGAGTAGGTGAATCTTAGGGAGGAGAAACAGAAGGAGCCTTTTGTCTTCTGAGTGGGAGTACAGGAGTGAGAATAGCAAAGACAACCGAATGAATATGGATGACAAAATATTGATAGGGGTAGAGCCAGAACCTGACTGACTTAGGAGTGTGCTAGCGCCAGACACTGAGAAGGGATGGTGTTTCAAAGGAGAGGGCCCCTAAATGAAGGAACCCTTGAATTTGTTTTGAACCATTTTAATTATTAGTGGGTCTATTAGGTGGAGTGAAGAAGTAGCATACGGAAATGTGGAATATATTTTTGGAGAAGAGGTCAGCGTAGGGATCTAATTTTGGGAGTCAGTAGCATAGAGTTGAAGCTCTGAGTAGATGAGCTTCCCAAAAGAAAACAGGAGTGAAGACAAAAGTCGGAATCTTGTGAATACTTGGTTTTAAGAGTTTAGAGAAGAAAGAATTGGTGAGGGAGAAAAGCCAAGGAATAGGATTATTAAGATGCATGACACACCCCTCTCCACCTTTTTTTTATAGGAAATGGACCCTCAGGGATCTGCCTTTCTTACATGTTATCAGGCTACAGGCCATATTTATCACCAGAAGCAATACATCCAAATCCAATCTTACATAGTAAATTAGAAGAAGCAAGACATCTTTCCATTGTTGATCAGGTATTATTTCTTACATGTCAGTCCTTTTAATTTTTTAGACTGAAACAAGATTAGTTTTTTACTTAAATAAACATTGTGTTTAATTGAAAATCCTTTCTTCTAAATAAACTTTGTATCATTTCTATTTTAGATTAGTAAATCCATTCATTCTGAGTTACTTTGATTTATTTTCCTGAATTGATGAGAATTCCCAAATGATTTCCTGATAAACTTTGCATAGGTTCTCTGTGCTTAAATAGTTTGTGAAGTGCTGCCTTTTTTAACTGCAGTATCACAACAGACATATTAAGGCACGTAGCATCTTAAAGATATATTCACGTTTTGCAGTAAGGGATCTGATTAGATTTGTTGAAGCCCAACCATTTCTCCTGTTCATTTGACCAAAGAATCTATTAAGATCTCATAGAACATCAGTGTTCTGTGGCACGCTATCTGGGAAATGCAGGATTAGCGTGATGGCCTGCACTTAATTATGATAGCTGTTTGTTTGTTTGTAACTCTGCCTTTTTTCTTTAAAAAAAAAAATGCATTCAGGACTTGGAATACTTGTCTGAGGGCCTTGAGGGCCGGTCATCCAATCCAGTTGCAGTGCTGTTTGACACGCTTCTGCATCCAGGCGCCGATTTTGGGCACGATGACCCATCTGTGTTGCACTGGAAGTTAGAGCAGCATCACTATATCCGTCACTTAGTCCTTGGGAAAGGTCCACCCGGCGGAGCCTGGCATGTGAGTACTATATTTTCCTCAGCACTGTAGTGTATGTCATCCTGATAAGACCACATGGATTCTTAAACATTATGATATATGAAGTATAGTGAATTTTTATCTGAGAATTTTTATCCTATTCAAGTAAATGTAGGTTAATTACTAGAAGCTAGGCCAAATTTCATTACTGATAGTCTTACTATAAGCATTTTTCTGTACTATTTTATAAGAATTATATAGAAAATATTTCAAGAATATTTTGCGTAGTAAAAAATTTTTATGTATTCATTTTAGACTTTACAAAATCTCACACAATATTTCAAACCAAATATCCATTATTTCTCTACATTTTCAAGATCTTGAGTGAAAAACATATTGTAAAAGAAGGAAGTTGTATTAGTGTGCTTGGGCTGCTCTAACACACTGCTACAGACAGACCATGTGGCTTGAATGGCAGATCCTGACGCCTCAGTTTTGAGGCGTGAAGTCCAGGATCAAGGGGCCAGCCTGCAGTGCGTAGTTAGGGAGCTTTTCCTGGCTTGCAGATAGCCGCCTCCTTGCGGGAGTCCTCACATGGCGAGAGCATAGTCTCTCTCTTCCTCCTCTTATAAAGCCACTAATCCTGTCACGAGGGCCCCACCCTCCTGGCCTCAGTTTGAGGCCTGATTACCTCCGAAAGGACCCATCTCCAAATATCATCGCATTGGGGGTTCCAGCTTCACATGGAGTCGTGAGACAGCTTAGTCCACAACAGGGGTTTAACCCAAGAACTGGTAACAGAGCACTTCGTTAGAGGCAGCAACTAACTGTAATTCTTCACTTCTGCATCCTTAGCAGTTAGCACAGTCCCTAGTGTTGAGAGCTCAGTGTTGGCTCTGGAAGCAAGAACCAAGGCACACCAGCACGCAGCAGCACACTCATCGGTCACCCAGTCCAAGGGTCAAAGGGTGTCTTGCAGGAGGCAGCCAACACCAGTTCTGCAGACACACCTGTCTCAGTAGTGCGTAGGCTAAAGCAACCCAGGACAAAAGCAACCTGTTGAAGGACACTCATGCTCTATTAAAGTGTCACACAAAAGTGCCTGTTCATTCTGCCTGGAATGTTCTCCCTTTCTAATTGTGCGCTAAGTCCACTTGTGTCCTCTGAGGAACAGCCCCCATTCTGTATGTGCCCACAGTACGTCAGGCCTGCGTCCCCTAACAACCACAGGCATCCATGGCATACAGGTTGCATGGGGGAGAAAGCAGATAGGGAGAAAAGTTAAGAGATCGAGGGATGGGGGCTCTCATCCCACTGGAAGAACTGGTGCAGTGGGAATACAATTAAGAGACTGTTGACAGAAAGTGGAATGCCAGTGCTTTAGGGGTGTTGCTTTCCAGCTGAGAAGACGGTGTCTCCTGATAACTTCGGAAACACAACGACCTCTTCACAGCTGCCCTTCTGACAATCCTCGTTTCCCATCTTGGTTCTCATCCTAGCACCAGGCCCAGGCCGCCTCAAAGCACTGACAGCTGGCTGCCTTCGCTCCCAGGGGACCTGGGTACTGTCACAAGTGAGAGGCTTCAGAAGGCCTCACACATGGAAGTATTCCGTAAGTGCTGGCTCATAACAGCCAGTCCCATTCCCAATCCTGCACTGTGCAGACAGGGCAAGACGAGTTAGGAGGAAAGAAGCCATAGCCTGAAAGAGCTGGATGGAAGAGATGGCCAGGTGACTGGGACAGGTGCTGGTGGCCCTGGGGCTTTCCTGGCTTCATACTGAGCAAAGCAGAAGTCAGCAGGACACGGAAGCTTAGAGGGCTCGCTTTATAGGCTGTGTTACCGGTGGTCTGTCGTAACTAGGCGAGCACTGCTGCTTTCCATGGTTCTTGGAAGAAATGCCGCCATATCCAAACCTGCTCAGACGTCACAGTTATAACTGACGGGTGCTGCCCATTAAAAAAGTCTAATAGTAACATGGAAAGACATCTCAAGTATGGAAATTAATGAATTTTTTCCCTTTTGAGTAAAAAATGAAAATTCTGATTTGTTCCTCTAACATGATCTACAGCTGGACCACCATGGTGACTCTAGCCAGAGCTATCAGCATTGTGTAGGCATCCGGTAGTAGTGTAAGTTTGTTTTATAAATGTACAACTACATGAAAGAAGGAATATAGATACTACCAAATGATGAAAGGATCATTTGAAAGTTTATTGGAATACACTTGAAGAGTTACTTTACACAACCATTTAGGATTTCTTTGAGCTCTACTTATCCAGACTCTAAATGATAGTAAATAAGATGGATTGAGTTTAAAAACAAAAATCAGCGTTGTTGCTTAAATGTGTTTTTGATTGTCCAATTTTTATTCAAATAGAATATGGAAGGCTCCATGTTGACAATCAGCTTTGGAAACTGGATGGAGCTACCGGGACTTAAATTTAAAGATTGGGCATCTAGTAAACGAAGGTAAAGATCAAGCTGTTAAAATTCCTTAGTGTACAATGGAAGAGTGTCAGCAAATGTCAAAATATTTGTGATCCTGTCTTAGATGAATAACATAAATGCATATGTCTTTCAAATGAAAAGCCTCTTTGCAGCAGAGATTATGAGCTCGTTTCTGCTTAGAGATGTTATAAACTCAGCCCAGAGGAAAGGAGGGAAGGGCTGGTCTGTAGACTGGGTTCCTCTGACTTCTCTGTTAATTGTGGATTTATTTCATCCTGTTAAACCACTCTGTATCCATTCTCATCCACCCACATATCCTTTCCACGTCTACTTATTTTTACGAGCAGTACATAACTTCATGGGGTATATCTCATGTATATATTACCTAGAGTGTTTGACCTTCTGAGAAGAGTGTTTAATGATGTAGAATGATGGGATAAACTAGAATCTGTGATGTAATTGGTATTTGGGTATACAGGTAAATATTTAATAAGAAAGTAGGAGTAACGGAAGAATGCTCAACTTGGAAGAATACAAGTTTATTTTGGGAGAAAGAACCCAAAATTTAAAAAGGAATACAAAAAGCCCTATCATTTTCAAGGACAGTAAATATTAAAGTAGATAGGAATTACCAAGTTGGAGAACCTATTCTAATTTGACTGCTCACAGAAACGGTAAGTGAAAGCGGGAAGTTACTTAACCTTTGTTAGGACAGGGCTGTAACACATGAATGCTTTACTTCCTGCCAAATAAAACCCATGTTCACCACAGAAATTATCCTCAATTTGAGAAGCTTTAAGGAGAGCAAGTTTAGACTAGCATGGGTAATTGAGATGTTTTAAACCTCTCAAATGTTCCTTTTGGGTTTTTTAAAAAGGAATTTTATACACGTCTGAAGTGTAAAGTTATTACAAAATCAGGCAAGATGGACAAGTTCCTGATTTTCATAAGCAAGCAAGTGAAATTGCTCAACTTATGTCCCTTTTGCAATGTGGGTAAGAAAGGAAAGCTTTATGATTTATATACTAGAAGCTTTCATCCTTTTAAATTGGGATGTTGTGTATAGAAGTAATATGTGAAAATAAATATTGTGATAAATATACCTTTAGTTCCTCCCTTTGCATAGCATTAAGAGAAGACTCTTAGGTCTCTAGAGATTGGCAGTTTGAATCCTGAACCTAACTTCTGATGTTGTGACCCTGGTCAAATAAATAGCTGTCAACTTGGTTGTCTATAAAACGGAGAGAAGAATAGTAACTACTGCATAGGGTTTCTGTAGAAATTGAGAGTTAATACATTCAAAATCTTAATTATTGTAGTCATTAAACTTTAAGGAGAAACATTTTTATGGACTTCTTCCAAATACACGGTATAATGAATTATGTGAAATGATTTGGTGTATTTTTCCTGCTACTTATCTCTAATTGGGACACAGTGTTTAGGGGTGCATGCCCATCACTTTAAAGGTCAAGTGGAAAAAGATGTACTAATGTACTTTTTTCATAAAGAGATTATAGATTTCTTATGAGTAGGAAAACACAGAAATGTTTTATTTACTAGGGCATAAGATGATTGTTCAGCAGAAGACTGACTGATTTGACTTATTTGTGGTCAGTAGGAAAATAGAAAGCAACTTAAAGTTGTGTCAAGAAGGTACGCATTATCTGTAAGAAATGTATTATTACAATAAGACCTGTACTGTATCTCAACAATGATTAATCTAAATCATTTAGCCTGTACTCACTGTTTAGAACAGACTGAGTAGTGTAGTTATAGACTGAATTGTTAAGGTTACGACTGTGAGATAAACTATCAAATAGCCAATTTTCATATAGCCGTATTTTAATCTTATCATTTAGTAAAAGTTTATTGATAAAGGCAGCTAATGTGAACAGATACTGTGCAAGACACTAGAGAAACAAAGATGCATTAAATACAGTCAGCCCTTTTGGCGCCTCTTCTTGTTATAATAACGAAAAAAGAAAAGCTTTCCTTTGTAGACTGTTAGGATCACTTCTAGCTAAGGCAGTTCAGAGCGATTAAAAACATGTGATGGCTTCCTAGATGGAGCGGCTCTAATCTGTCCTCATAGAGTATTTTTCCTTGTCTTTTCCAGGAACCTAAAAGGGGATCGCGTTGTGCCAGAGGAAGTGGCTCGCTATTACAAACACTATGTAAAAGTCATGGGTCTCCAGAAGAACTTCAGAGAGAATACGTACATCACCTCTGTGTCCAGGCTCTGCAGAGATCCAGATGACGACGACGATGGCCAAGACAGCAGTATTTCAGCACAGCAGCTCCAGATGGAGAAGTCCAAGTTCATCAGGAGGAACTGGGAGGTCCGGGGTTATCAGCGCGTAGCCGACGGGTCCCATGTGCCCTTCTGTCTCTTTGCTGAGAACGTGGCTCTGGCAACTGGAACGCTGGACTCTGCTGCCCGTCTGGAGGTTGAAGGGGAAGATTTTCCTTTTGTGTTTCACTCAATGCCTGAATTCGGAAAGGCTGTGAGCAGAGGCAAGTTGCGTGGCAGAACGGACCCAGTGCTGATCGTGGGCTCCGGGCTCACTGCAGCTGACGCAGTACTGTGTGCTTACAACAACAATATCCCTGTGATTCATGTATTTCGCAGGCGAGTAACGGACCCAAGTTTAATTTTCAAGCAGCTTCCCAAAAAGCTTTATCCAGAATACCATAAAGTCTATCATATGATGTGTACTCAGTCGTGTTCTGCAGACTCAAATCTTTTATCTGAGTATACCAGTTTTCCTGAGCACCATGTGCTTTCCTTTAAGTCAGACATGAAGTGCATCCTTCAGAGCACCTCTGGATTGAAGAAAATATTTAAACTCTCTGCAGCAGTGGTACTGATAGGTTCTCACCCCAATCTGTCTTTTCTGAAGGAGCAAGGCTGTTACCTGGGCCATAACTCAAGTCAGCCAATCACCTGTAAGGGTAATCCTGTGGAAATAGATGCATATACCTACGAGTGTGTCAAAGAAGCCCACCTTTTTGCATTGGGTCCTCTAGTCGGAGACAATTTTGTTCGATTTTTAAAGGGGGGAGCACTGGGTGTTACACACTGTTTAGCTGCAAGACAGAAGAAAAACCATTTATTTGTTGAAAGAGGAGGAGATGGGATAGCTTAAAGCAGCTTTACCAGTAATTTATATGGTCAGTTTATCATTAAAGATTTTTACTAGTGTCTTTGCAGTGTACTGGCTTGAATTTTCTGGACTTGAATTAACTGGAGGAGAGCCTCGAACTATTATGTTTTAAAGTTACAAGAACTTGGTGTTCTGATTTATATTGTAATGTATCAAGGGTGTCACTGTCAGACAAATGGAAACGCTGCCAATTTAGTATACTTTAAGTTCTCACTTAACTAAAACAGTCTTTTCTTCCAGGATGTACTTTTTCTGATCATTTTTGGTTATTTGTTATGATTGATTCCAAAATATTGCAGCCTGAATCTATAAAACCACATAGTCATTAGGCCAGAAACTGTCCTCGCTACATATCAGGTGACACTGCTACTCAAAGGGTGGACCAGGGACCAGCATAACCTTCCTCTGTAGCTTGTTAGAAGTGCAGATTCCACACCTGACCACAGACTTAAGAGTCAGAAACCACATCCAATTACTGAGATCCTCAAGGAATATGCATGCTCATTAAAGTGGGAGGCAAACTGGTCTCAAAGAAAGTGGGCGTGGTGTGTGTGCACTGGAGGTGGGGTGGGATAGAAGGCATTTGAACTCAGGTTTTATTTATTTTGAAATTACCAATTGTATGAATCTAACTTATTACCAAATATGATCTTTTAAAAAATATTTTTATTGTTGAAAGCTTTACAGATGCTTCATATTCTTAGCTTCCAGTAAGTTAATTTCAACAGCCCAATAATGTTGGCAACACCCAGAATTTACCAAGATGTTCTCTAGAGATTTATTCTCCACTTAACTTGCCTAACACTTAACCTAATTTGAAAGTCAATAAATTGTGAATGGTACTACCTATCCCTTTGTGAACAGTTAATTTCTATCATTGAAACTAAGACATCTGGGCATAAGTACTTCTAATATTGTAATACTATTTGGGTATTGCCAGAATTATTAAAGACTAAAATTGAAAATAAGGTTAAAACCTGTCTTTTCCATTCCCAATATGATTGCTTTCAAATTTGTTCATACTCATAAATGACATAGCAGCTCATTCTGTGGTTATTTATTGAATTGTATGCTCTTACCTTGATTTGTATTTATTTAGGTGTGCTTAATTAATGTCTGTGTTTTCATACAAATCCCCAGAACTTTTAGTATTAGACAAAAAAGTCTTCTGAAGTTCTCCATGGCAAATTAAATTTCTCCTATTCTCTCTCTTAACTCTCTCGCTCTCTTTTGGTAGAATTTATTTCATTTGAAATGTGTTTATTGAACGTCTGATTTTTTTTTTTTTTAGTATTAAAAAATAGACTGAAGTGTCATTATTTTGCTGTCCATCTTTTTGCAATGTTATGTGCTTACAGGATCAAAATTCACCTTCAAATAGAATTGTTTAGAATATACTTTCATCTACAACTAGCTGTTTCAGATAAACAATGAATTCTTACACTCCTGAAAACTGTCATGTCTGAGTAACAATTTTAGAAATGATGTGATCCAGTTTTAGTTTATTATAATGGTAATTTTTTTCAAATTAATTTCACATCTATTGGAAATGGTATAACATACTCTGACTACACTTGATGGAGCACTCTTGCCTGCCTTTTCTTTTGAGCTCTGAATGAGTTAGGTTGGATGTTTTCTTAATGTCACTTCTAAACCAAAAATGACATTGTTATAAAGATGGTTTCTAGGGAAGGATAAGAACTGTTGATATCCCCTTGTGTCCCAAAAGCTTGCTCCTACCCATCCTATAGCATTTATGTGCGATTATTCACCAAAAAAAAGACTTAGGTAAAGTCAAGTTCCAGTAGGGCCCAAAATAAACCTGATGAATAATTTCATCATTCGTTAGTTGCTTTCCATTTTCCAATTACCTCTCTAACCTTGCTGCCATGGGTTGCTGATAACATTAAAGCCTTTTCTCTGGTGTTCTATTCTCTTATACTCTTAGTTTCTGTCCCATAGTCACAAACCTTTACTTATTCTTCAGTGTCATCAACTAGCTACTCAGAGAGGGAGAAACCACTAAATATTTGACTCGTCATACCATGATGTGGGCATCTCTTCTTCATCCCTCAGAAATCTAGCTCTTGAAAGAATGTTTAAAAATCAGAATCTCGGGGGTTTTAAAAATAAAATTAAGTCACTTCTAAGTGTTTTAGACAGTCTGAGTATGTGAACTTCGTTTAACTTTACTTTTTTGAAAAATCTAGTAAGTTTTATGTAATATGTTTCCATAGAATCAAATTCTAGTTAACAGATTTTAAAAATCAAGACTGAAAGGTATTTTAAAATATTATGTAGTCAATGGGAAATGGTGAAAAATCCTTCTAAATAAATCCTGCTATTAAATGGAAGCACTTAAGTCCCAGCCTATGGAATATGGAGACACCCAGAACAAAACAAAACTAGACTGAATCTAAACAAATCTAATTTGGTTATAGGGCTGCTATTGCATAAAGCCATTTTGATCAGATCAGATCACAGTCTTTTAAACTACACTATACACTCCTAGGGTAAAAAGGGCCAGGGTTGCTAGACCTCCCCAGAAGGAGAGTGGAGAAAAGACTATAAACAGGTAACTGCTGTTTTTGAATGTACCCTCCAGCCCCAGGCTAGTCATGAAAAATGGTGTCTCTGTGGAGGTGGCAGGACAAAAAGTAACCGATAAACCATAAAAACAACTAAAAGTAAACTTCATATTTAAAAGGACACCCTACTGGTTTCGGTTATCATAGAGTAATGGGAACTGGACTTACCCTTTATCGACTATTGGAAAAAAACATAAAGCAATGTTTGTACACATTGGACAGCAGCCCTGGACTGACATTTAAGAGAAGAAACAAGGTGAGGTGGAAATCACTCTCGCCTTCTGCCTGAGGCCACTTCCCACACAACGAAGTGGAGTGGGTGGAAAACATCCCAGTTCAGAGTTCCTGCTGGCAACGAGCAGGGTGCCAGAGGAGAGAGCTGCACTGAGAAGCAGCTCCAGAAATTTGCATATGATTTCCTTAAATCTGTCACAATAACAGACTGAGTATAGACACACAGATCCATGGAACAGAATATAGAAACCATGGGCAATTAACTTTTGACAAAGGATCCATGAATATACAATGGGGAAGGACAGTCTCCTCAATAAGCTGTGGTGGGAAAACTGGACAGATACATGCGACCAGACCACTGTATCATACACAAAAATCAACTCAAAATGGATTAAAACCTTGAACATAAGACCTGAAACCATAAAAGTCATGGAGGAAAACATTTGTAAATCGTGTATCTGATAAAGGGTTGATATACAAAACATGAACTCACACAACTCAATACCAAAAACCAAAGAATCCAATTAAAAAATAGGCAGAGGATCTAAATAGACATTTTTCCAAAGACACAGAGATGACCAACAAGCACATGAAAAGGTGGTCAACGTCACTAATCATCAGGAAAATGCAATCAAAAGTACAATGTGATCACGCCTGTCAGAATGGATGTCACCAAAAAGAAGTGTTGGTGAGGCTGTGGAGAAAAGGGAACCCTTGTGCACTGTTGGAAATGTAAGCTAGTGCAGCTACTATGGAAAATAGTTTGGAGGTCCCTCAAAAAATTAAAAAGAGAACTGTCATATGAATCAATGTCATATGATTCAGCAATTCCACTTCTGGCTATTTACCCAAAGAAAATAAAATCACTATCTCAAAGAGATATATGCACCCCCATGTTCACTGCAGCATTATTTACTATAGGCAAGATATGGAAACAACCTAAGTGCCCATCAATGGATGAATAGATAAAGAATATATGGCATATATACACATATCTACAATGGAATATAGATTCAGCCTTGAAAAAGGAAATCCTGCCATTTGGGACAACATGGATGAACCTAAAGAGCATTGTTAAGTGAAATAAGTCAGAGAAAGACAAATACTGTATGACCTCACTTACACGTAGAATCTCAAAAAACCAAACGTAGACACAGAACAGGTTGGTAGTTGCCTAAGGCAGGGAGTGGGGAAACGGGTCAAGGTGATCAAAAGGTAAAAACTTGCAGTTATAAGTTCTGAAAATGTAATTTACAGTATGGTGACTATTAATACTATTTTATATATTTGAAAGCTGATAATAGAGTAGGTGTTAAGGTTCTCATCACAAGCAGAAAAAATCCGTAACTGTGAGGTGATCGATGTTAACTAAATTTACCATGATAATCATTTTGCCTATATACACTATGAAATCATGTTGTATACCTTAAACTAATTTACATCTCAATAAAACTGGGAGAAACAGACAAATCCATAATTATAGTTGGAGATTTTAATATTCCTCTTTGAGTAACTAGTCAAACAAGTAGACAAAAAAATAGAAAGGATACAAAAGATCTCAATACATTAATTAACCACTGACCTAACTGATATTTATAGGACACTACACTCACAACCTGCAAATACACTTTCTAAGAATACAAAGAACATTTACCAAACAGACCAACCATATACTAGTCCATAAAACAAGTCTTAAAAATTTTCAAAAGGTTGAAAATCTTACTATGATCTCTCACCATAGTGGAATTAATTTAGAAAGCAGTAACGAAATAAATAACATATCTTTTGATAGATGAAAATTTTTTATTTGGAAATTAAATAACTAATTCACGTATCAATGAAGAAAGCACACAGAGATTAAGACATATTTTGAACTGAATGTTAACACAAATACCCTAAGTTGTTACATGCAGCTCATGCAGGAGGAACAGACGGAAATTTATAGTTTTAAATATTGATATTAGAAAAGAGGCTTAAAATCAATGATCTAAGCTTCCATCTACAGAGGCTAGAAAAATAAGAGCAAACTGGACACAAAGTACTTGGAAGGTAATGAAGATGAGTGAAAATCAATGAAACAGAAAAATGGCAAACAGAGAAAAATCAAAGAAACCAACCATTCTTTAAAACGTTTTAAATAGAATCAATAAACCTTTAGCTAGACTGATCAAGAAAAAGAGAACAGGGCCTGCTGGGTGGCTCAGTTGATTAGAGCATGAGCTCTAAGCAGCAGGGTTGCTGGTTCGATTCCCACATGGGCCAGTGAGCTGTGCCGGAGCTGAGCTGCCAATGGGCAGCTGGGAGGCTCAGTGGTGACAGCGCGTGCTCTTAACAACAAGGTTGCCAGTTAGAATCACCCATGGGATGGTAGGCTGCCCGCTCCCCATCAACCATTAGATTGAAGGCGGCTACTGGACTTGGAGCTAGCTTGCGCCCTCCACAATTAAGATTGAAGGACAACAACTTGACTTGGGAGCTGATGGGTCCTGGAAAAACACAATGATCCCCTTCCCCTATTCCCCAACACTGTTCCCTTCCCCAATTCCCCAATAAAATCCTTAAAGGAAAAGAAAAAGAGAACACATTTCTCTGAAAACAAAGATGAAAAAAGGGACATCACTATATATTATACAGTCATTAAAAGTTTAACACAGAAATTTTATGAACTTTGTATCTATAGAGTTTTTTTAAATCTTAAGGAATCTACAAGAAAAATACTAAACTATGAGTTTAGCATGTTCTTAGCCTCTAAATTCAATATACAAAAAATAACTGCATTTACATGTATAAGCAATATCATTGCAAGGTGAAAATTTAAAAACTACCATTTACAAGAGTATCAAAAATATTAAATATTTAGGGATAAATTTAAAATAGATACACAAGCCTCTCCACTGAAACAATAAAATAATGCTGAAAGAAATTAAAGATCTAAGGAAATGAACAGATGTGTTACGCTCATTGGAAGAGTGAATATGTTTAAGATGTCCATTCTTCCCAAATCAAGTTTTGGATTCAGTATATCCCAACTGAAATCCTACCAGACTTTTTTGATACAAATTGACATGCTTCATGGACTTAAAGTACCTGATTTCAAGACTCACTAACAGCTTTAGTAATTCAAGATAGTGTGAGATGAGCCTAAGAACAGACAAGCAGATGGGTACTACAGGACGGAGTTTAGAAACAGACCCACCTGACTCCTTTTTTACAAAGTTGCCAAGGTAATTAAGAAAAGACAGTTGTTTCAACAAATAGTGCTAGCCCGGACAGCCATATGGATAGTAAAATGAACCCTAACCCCTACTTCATACTCAAAGATTAATTCATGTTGGATCAGACATAAATATAAAAATATATAAAGTTTATAGAAGAAAACTATTTTTGAAATCTTGATATTGAATAAATATTTTAGGATACTGAAACATCAAGAAGAAAAAATTGATAAATTTGACCTTTCCAAAATCTAAAGCATCTGTTGATCAAAGACATGAAAAACAGTGAAATATGAAAACAAAAATAATTCAGGCTGGGAGAAATATTCTCAATACACACATATGACTAAAGAATTGCATCCATAATATATTGGGCTGTCGGAAAAGTCATGATGTATTTTTTCTATATTTTTCGTTGCAAAAATGCGTCATGACTTTTCCGACAACCCAATACAAAGAACTTCTATAACTCAATTACAGTTATCCGGGTAAAGCAAATTCAAACCAAAATGAGACATCACTACACACCCAATATAATGGATTAAAAGGAAAAACCTCTGACAACCCCAGTGTTTGCAAACAGGAGCATTCTGGTACTGGTGAAGGCAGGCTTCCTTAGAAAGGGACTGTGGGCATGAGACCATGTCAGTCTGTCCTTTACATCCTCACCTGGAGCATGGAGACCACCAGCTCCACTGGCTGGTTACAAGGCAAGACCACTATTAGACTCACAGACTCCATTTCACCCACCAACAAGCCCTGTCCGTTCTACTTGTACGGCATTCACGTGCTCTCCAGAGTCACTGCCACTGTCATCATTCAAGGGTTTATAGCCCCTTATACTATTTCAATCTCCTCCTCAACGTTTTTAATGTCTCAGCTTTGACGCCTATAATAGAGATTGTACGTCGGCTCATCCCATCCCACTTCCTAGAGACTCAGCACCTTAACGCCTCCACTTCCCTGACTCACTGAACCAGAGCCCCGCCTGCGAGCAGGGTACTTGGTTCTGCCAAGCGGATGCCAGCGCCTGTGGCGACAGTGAGGGACAGGCCAACTCCCATCCCTCCAGCTGCTCCTCTCCCAGGGATACCACCCAGAGATGCCTTCCATGCATCCCATGCCCCCTCACTCTGCAGGCGCTCTTGCCTGGAGCACAGTGGGAGCAGACAAGCTCGAGCACATGGCTCCAGGGAGGCCTCAGTTAGGAGTGGCCTGCGGTCTGCTCCAGACGGTCCTGCGAGTTTTCCTTGAAGGCCCAGATGAGAGCCTTCTCCTAGTCCGGCCATTTCAAGTATCTAATTCCCTGTATTACATCCTTTCCTGCTTAAAATGTCTATGGTGGTTTGTTTACCTCAACTGGAGTTCAGTATGGAAAATATCCGCAGTTTCCATTTCTTTGTAACCTACACATAATTAACATCCTGACTTAGAAGTTCCCATCCAGAAACCATGCACAGCTCCCTACCGAATAAAATCCTGGCCTCCACCAACAGTTACGGTCTTGAGACTTACAAAGGAAACCAATGCTCCATTTTAAGGAAGTCTTGTTCCCAGTTTGGGAGGCTAGCCTGTACTGTGACCTTCAGTTCCATGGCTTAGAGCAGCAAAATACCCCGGCTCACCCCACATCACCCTCTGATAAAGGGAAACAGAGTGATTCAGTCCAATTGTGCTTACACATGCACGGCTGACATCCTGAGAAAAAGGGCAATACTGCTCGCCAGCCAAGCAGCCTTGTTAAACTTGAGGGAGCAGGCTTCATGAAGTCTCACATAGCTTCAGTCTCATAAGGACGACTTTGGACCATGAACATCATTCAAATAATCAGACAGAGATTCCCGATGGTGTGAACAACCACAAGGCTTCAGTTGTGGAATTGGGGAGAAGTCTGGAAAGAAGACACTCCTGGGTAATTATACCTGCAGAAAGGAAGCGTGGAGTCCCCAAGTGCTGCTGGGAGTGGACGGCTGAGAGACCATGGCCCAAGACCTGGCCACCTTCTCCTTGCCCTCAGGAAGTTCAGTTGAACTCCATTTCCTACAGTCCCAAGCTAGAAATGGGGACACAGTTCCCATTCATCTAATGAAGGGATGTGGCAAGTTATACCTTCTGCTCTTTCTCCTAGGATATGTAAAGGCTTAGAAAAAAGTATCCCCAAGACAGCCAGGGGAAAGGTGCACACCTACCCATGCGGGGCTGTAACTCAACTTGCTCAGGCAGAGCTAATGGCCTCCCAAAGGATTTGTGCACAGCAATAGGAGACACCTTCCGTCTGCTTAACAAGACTTTCAGAGCTGAAAAGAACTCAAGGGGAATTCTTCAAACTCAGGCTGTCACTTCCAAGAGAACAGGGACCGTTGCTCATTAATCTTTGGATTCTTTGAGTGCCGTGGACAGCAATGTTTTACATATAATACAATTTTAATAATGTTTCCCAAACAAAGACTTTGAAGAGATAATAAAACAAAGAAATAAACAAGAAACAGCTAAGACACTTAGGAACGATCTCCTGAAAGGCATCGGTACATTCTGAGGGCTGGTCAGGGGTTCAGAGTAGCTCAGCCAACACTTACTTGTGGTGCCCTCCTGGACAACTGAGGAACACCACATCTTCCATGAGATCTAGCAATGGTACATGTTACGTTATGGATCATTTTCATGCTATGCTATCGCTAACAGCCTACAAAGGTAAGCATGTTAGGGCGGCAGAGCCTACGTGGGACCAGGATGCTTTCTGGCAGAATCCAAAGCCTTTTCTACTTCCTAGGACACGATGCCAGTCCTTAGTAGTCAAAGGACTTGACCATAACCCTAAGGTACAGCCAACGTTGTTTATGTTACTAAATTTGAAAAAAGACATTCGTTTTTCTTACCATCTCTCTTTAAAGTAGAAAAAGACAATCTTACCATTTTTACTTTGCAGGTACCAAACCCAGGTCTCTAAGAAGCTCAAAACAGACATGCCCAGCTCAGTAAAACACCAAAGAGGTCTCTCCATCCTAGTGAGGTTTATCCGCAAGCTGGAGGAAGGCTTCCACATTGTCTCCAGTTGTCAGTACTACATTACATGGTGACATCTTCACTACTGAAATCCGTCTCCTTCGGGTCACTTTGGCTCAAGGAAGACTATGCATAATGGAAAAAAAACCCAAATTAAAAGGAAAAAAAAATATGTTCTGATATGCCTGTGATCTTCCAATCTAATCAGTGAAAGGTGCAAGGTGTAGGGCACTGCGTGTTATATGCTATCATTTTCATAGGAAATTATTGACCAATGATGCACACAAGTTAGAATAGGCATTACAAATCTCTGGAAAGACCCATAAGAAATGAGTCTCGGGGCTGGCCGAGTGGTGCATTGGTTAAGAGCTGGCTTAGGACGCCAGAGGGCCCTGGTTCGGATCCCACATATGAGGGCCAGTGACACTGCCCTCTATAGCTAAGATGCTGAACAACAGCTCAACCTTGGGCCAGTAAAGCAACGTCCTCCACAACTAGACTGAAGAACAAAAGGACAGCAACTTGTCTGTTCCCCTTCCTCCAATTCCCCAGTGCTGTTCCCTTTCCCCAATTCCCCAATAAAAATCTTTAAAAAAAAAAGAGTCTCATGGAGTCTTCTGAGGAGGAGAACAATAGCTAGGAGGACAGCAGTGGAAGGGACACTTTTTAATCCTTTACCCTTTTAAACTTTTAGAATTCTGAACTGTGACTACATTAACTACTCAATAAATAAAAAACAAATCTAAAAATAAAAAAATGAAAAAATTACCATAAGAGATGAAAAGTCAAAGACTGAAAATAAAACAAACCATACTACAAAAGAAATGGAGTTTTGTGCATTTTATTTAACAAATTCAGGCCACAGAATATTTGTAACTTATGTCCCATCCCTTCTATATAAATGTAGGTATCGCAGAGGAAATGAAGTAAATGCTGGATAGGAAATGGTTTTCCATGGCTTCTTTATAAAATTCTCAGTTATCTTCTCTTTTTTACATTAGGATTGTATCTGCAAGAAAGAAATGGGGTTAGATGATACCTACATAAATGATGGCGCTTCTTTCACTTTTAAAGTTAAAGGGCTTTCAAAATAAGTCACACTTGAGCAAACAGAATGAGTACCAATTTTATCCACAGAATCAGATATTAAGCACTGACATTTTTACTTTCATTTATCCTTTCAATGTTGCTTTCATGGATATTTGCTAAAAATAAAGCATTATCAAAAGATCCTAGGAACACATTAAAATAATTAACAAAAACAACAGTTTAAAAACAAATATGTGTTTATACTTCAATATGGTTTCAAATAGTTTCTCTGCCTGCCCCCAAATGAAAGAATACCATTTGCACAAAAAAAGCATAATGAACCTGAAATGTAATTACTTTACAAAATTTTCTCTTATAGAAATTAAAGAAATGTAGCTGGGCAACCAGATTTTTCTCATTTGACTACTTATGAAAAATCAGCACTGTCAACATTTTGACCAATGATTCATACTGTCAATAATGAAATTAAAGAATCAAATTCACTGCAAAACAGACTCAAAAGTATAGTACCTTCTTTGTTTTTGCCTTTAAGTAAGTCTGGGAAAATGTTATTCTCCCCTAGCTAGTATTTACCTATACGTCAATGTTTTGTGAGTATTTGAGAGATAATTATTATAAGGCTTGTGGGCCTATAAGAACACTGAAAATATGTTAAATCAGAATTGAATTATAACTACCCATTATAACTCTGCTAAACTTCCCACCAGAACCTGCTTTGAAACTCTAATCCAGCCTCTTCTTTTTATGTATGTGCCAATTAAAGCTAAACTAACGGTCTGATACTTTACTTCTCTTAGTTCAAAACCCATTCACTCATAATTCTTCTCAGAGCCAAAAGTCTCACAGTTATCAGCCAAATTCACCCAGCTCAGGAGCTGTCTTTTGCTTGAATGCCCCCATACAAATTTTAAATCTCCTGTGGTGCATGCAGCACAACTGAATCACCCCAAACCGAAGCTATATCCAGTAAACCCAATTAGAGATGCTCAAGCAGGAAAAAGAAATACATATATTACAAACAAAACATTCTTTAGAGGAAGGAACTAAGTGTCTATTTTTAAGGACAGAAGAAAAACAAATATTCAAATCTCTATAAACAGAACTGAATTTTACATACATCTCTCTAACATTCACGAGAAAGCTGAAGTTAAATTTTACCTGAAGAGATCATCAGCAAGAGACTCTTCTTTTGCATGTTGGTTTTGCACCTGTCAAAATTAACATCATTTCAAATGTTTGCTCGATGGAGCGTATGCACTTAATCGGTTGCTATATGGGGCCGTCAGTCGCCTATGAGAGGTCACCAGGTCTAGAGTTCGTGCCTCTACACCATGTCTCCCATTCCACAGATCCTCTCCATTTTTACTTCACCCCACTTTACTGCGAAGTCCTCTAATTAAACAACCTCCACCAGCCAATCTCCTTGTTAAGGCAACCAGCACATACACTGCTGCCGGGTGCATTTTAAACGTTTTCTCCAGCGAAACCCTTTTCTTAAGTGAGATCTCAGTGTTCTGAGGTCACACCATTGATGAAGGGGCTGAGCGGGCAATACTTACCCCACCTTGGACCAGGTAAAGTGGCTCCCTTCCTGACGGTCCCAAATCAGGGCCCAGAAGCTACTGCTGTAATTAATTTTACACTCAAACTCACCAAAGTCCTCATGCACCTTCCAGAGCCAGGTCTGGAAAACCCCGGTGCTCAGTGTATCTTCCTCAAGTCCAGCTATGACCCTATCATGGGCCAATCAAAACCCTTCAATGGATTCTCCCACCCGCCAAAGAAAACACAAGCTCTCCACAGCCTGGCTCCATCCAACTTTCTCAATCACTTCTCACCCTGTATGCCAGTTATTATAAAACCGAATCACACACACACAAAAAATACAATAACGAAAGAAAAAGTAGAGTCACCTCCTGATAAATACCCTGCAGCCCTCTCTGCTTTTGGTCATATTTCTCTCTCTGCCCCAAATTATTTCCTTTTTCTCCTCTTCCCACATCTGACCATCTTCATGGTGCATTCATTAATTGTCTAGGACCTACTATGTGTCAAGAAATACGTCCCTCACTCACATCACGACGGCTCTGTGATGCTCTTCATTTAAAAATAATGTCTGCTAGGAAGAACTCCCAGAAAACCTCAGCTAGGCAACTCCTAGATGCTAATCAATTTCTACCTCCTGTTGTAATTACTCACATCATATCCTCACCAAAGGTCTATAAATTCCTGGAACACACACACTGTTTATTTTTACTGGTAACAGATTACACTTATATATTTCCAGATACTATCTCAGAACTCTAAAAGATCTCATTTACTCTTCAGATAACATCACTACTACCCTCACACATCAACCCAGTGGTAACCAATGAGGGACGGAGACTCAGGCTTGTCACCCGCAGAAGATGAGGGACCCGCGCAGGCCCACTGAGCACAGCACCAGCTCTCGCCCAGGCTCTTGCGCTGCTACCCAGTTGCTGGAAGGGCCCAGAGGACAACTTGTCAGGATTCAAACTCACAGAGTGACTTTATATTCACATACAGTGAAATGTTAAAATGAAATTACACCTTTTCCTTTCACATTTTCTAACAGGCATAACAGAACACAAATGGGATGACGTGCTTTTCACAAAGCAGCTGTCAAAAAGCTGCTGATATAATTATCCTAAATATTCCTGGCAGGGGATGCTAATTTTAAAGTTACAGTAAGAAAAAATCAGCTTTGTTTTATATATCTTAGTAAAAGCCTTAAGCAAAACAGTATTAAGAAACAAAAATCCTCATACTGCAGGCATTTTTCAAGGGTTTGGGGGAACTATATCTCACAATCTTTCAAAATTCGAATCAGGCTGGATAAAGTTCAAAGAATTATTATGTTTAATGCACAGAGTTAAAATTTACTAAATTCAAGAAAATTTCGGGAACTGACTGGGTGATTGTGAAAGCTAAGACTGGCTTGCAGCAGAAACAGAGGAAGGGCTGAACGAGAACAAAAGGCGGGAACATGCTGTAGGAGAAGAAGAGCTGGGCCAGCCCAGGGGCCCAGACATTGTGTCTCTGCAGAAGCCGCAGCCATGCAGATGGAGAAAGTCAACTGCGAGCTTAGATGGTGAATCCTACCCAGCACACCTGAAACTGCCCTAGCAAAAATGGGAGATTTGGTGGAATAAATGTAGAACACAGGCTCTCTCTCTCTCTCTCTCTCCTAATTCTAAAATAAACAAAAATAGGAAGAAAGTCAACACCGGTACTGTCATTCTCTCATCTCAGACAAGAAGAAACAAAACCCAACGCCACAATTCATCCGGAAGCGCCTGACCCCGGACCACAGACTTCAGAAAGGTGGCCAAGCAAAGAACCAAAAGACGGATGAACAGCCTCCTCCCACTGCCCCAGCCTGTTAAAGGTGTGGCACAGCTGGCCACACCTGAGAATTCTTCCTAACACTCCCACAGTGGGAAAAAGAGAGAACCACTGCTGGTGGGCAGTGGGAAGGGGCAAAGGGTGGGAGGTGAGCCCGTGGGACCGACCCTGCCCCACATCGCTGACACATTAGCAAACAACCTAGATGGCTGGGATGCTCTCTGGGACAGGACGCACCCTCTGCTGGCACATACATCTCCTTTCAACCCCAGGAAAGAGTGCGCACAGCTGCAGTCCCAGTGCTGCCTTCCCTTCCTCGCTTGGTGACTTCAGGTGAGAGACTAGTGGGACTCGAAGCGGGCAGGTGGAGCTTGCCGCCACGTGTGCTGGTATGAAGACCCCAGATGGTTCAGTCCTGTACACGCACGCTGAGGGGCAGGAGGAATTCGGCTACTTCCATTTTTACCTCGCCAACTAGCTTTAGAAAGCAATCCCTGCAAAAAATGGCACACAATGGCTCACACCACAGAAGATGTACATGGACAGGGCATCTTATTCCAACAGCTGCAAAACGGAAGAGAGGAGCACAGCCACTCCACACACCAGAGATTAGAACAGAACATGCAAAAGACAGGTGAAGAACCTAGTCTGCAAGGAACAAGAACCCCAAAATGAAAAATAAACCGTAAGAACACGAAAGCAGTAAAATAAGTTAGATGATAAAATACCCCAATGAAATGAAAAGGAAACAAAGGATGAGTAAGTAAGCAATGAACTATAATGACACCATTTAAGAATGAAATAAATAGAAAATAGCTGACACTGTTTCCACTGATATAAAAGCTTTATAAGCAATATCTTATTTAATCCTTAAAGTCTATAAACAGAGGTACTAGTATTGTTCCCATTCTGCAGGAGGAAACAAACGGAGGCATGAGGAAGTAATTCGGCTTTCGGCTCAGAGGAGGCTACGATGCAGCTTCCCTCGGTCTCCCCGAGTCCGAGTTCATGTGATACCAGCCGCCCAGCCACCTCCACCATGCCACCGAAGGTTGACCCCAACGAGATCCAAGTCATGTACCTGAGGTGCACTGGTGGGGAAGTTGGTGCCACGTCTGCCGACCCCTAAGATCGGCCCCCTGCGTCTGTCTCCAAAAAAGGTTGGTGAAGACATCACTAAAGCAACCGGTGATTAGAGGGGGTCTGAGGATGACAGTGACACTGACCACACAGGACAGGCCCAGACTGAGGTGGTACCTTCTACCTCTGCCCTGATCATCAAAGCCTCAGATAACACCCAGGAGACAAAAAGAAGCACAAGACATTAAGCACAGTGAGGATATCACTGGATGAAGATTGTCAACATTGCCTGACAGACGTGGCACCTATCTTTAGCTAGAGAACTCTCTGGAACCATGAAAGAGATCTTGGGCACTGCCCAGTCTGTACGCTGCAATGCTGATGGCCACCACCCTCATGACATCATAGATGACATCAACAGTGGTGCTGTAGGATACCAGCTAGTTAAGACCACAAATGAAAGTATGTATCTCAAGGAACGATCATTTGACAACCAAAAACAAACAAACAAACAAAAATGCTATCTGCCCAAGTCATGTAGTTGGTGAGGAACAGAACAGACACAACTGGACTATGAATTTCTGACACAGTTAAAGAGCTTAAGAAGTCCACAGTGAGTGCAGGAGAAATGGCTGTGGAGGGCAGAGGTGAGATAATACAAGGACAGCTGTGTCCTAAGTGCAGAGAACTCAGCAAATATAAGAATGCTTTTAGAGATGTCACAGAAGGTTCCCTGACATAAAAAGAACTGCAGCTGCAGATCAAAACAGCGCACTGCTCTGCAGGAGAAATAAATGCAGAACGTCAGCACCGACCTGCACTGACTGTTACCCACTTCAGGCTTAAGAAGGAATATTGCAGGCATGCAAGTCACCTAAAAGGGGGTTAAAAAAAAAAAAAGCACAGTCCTGGGGAGGGGGGGCGAGTAGGAGGGGAGAGGAAGTACAACTCATTTCCTGGCTTCACAGGGGGGAGCCACCAAATAGCATCTAAAATAAAAATATACAGTTTGACACAAATATTGATTTTAGGCTGATAGTATTTTTCCTATTTCTTCCCATTAATCCCAGGGTATCTCAGGAAATAAGATATCCTGGAGGGAAGGAAGTGGATACAAATGCAGAGATGCTTTCAGTTTCACTTCTTTCAGTTTCATTTCTATCAGTTTCACTTACTAATCACTCTCCATCCCTTCCCATTCTGTCCTGCCTCTCACTCCCCTCAATAAAGAGATGTCATTAATCTTTAAATGGGTAATTTCTGGGCTTTAGGATTTTAACTTCTTCATTCTTTTGTGTACTACCATGATTCTCTGGAATGCACATTTATAAAATAATAAAGCCAATAATTCTTTCCAAGAATAGAGGCAGAAAGCAAGTGACTTTCACGCTCCTGTTTTTGGACAGTAAATATCCTCCATGACCTCCTTAATAATCCAACTTTTCTGAGTGACCTTCCTAACAATTTTTTGGTTAAAAAAGCATTTTTAAAAACAATTTGCACAAGACTACATTAGACCCACAATAAGGCAAAATACAATCCCTGAGAAGTTACCAATACCACAGCCAGCTTTTCGCCCTGCCCTGTGATATCTGCAAACCATAAAAACCAGGGCTCTGCTTCCATGTCTGGATGGGGGACAAGTGATATGTAAGAAAATCCAAGATGGGGAACTTAATAAAAGACTCCAGTGCTAAAGGGTCAGAGAGGAATAAACCCTACAACACAAAAGGCACCAGCAAAGAAACTTGCCTGTTTCAACCCTGGTGCAGGGAGGAAAGAAAGAAAAGATCTCAGTTTATAAAAGCAAGCTGGCCTTCACTCAGGCTTCTGGTCCAAACACGTATTAACTACCCAACTGATCCAAAAACCTCACATACAGAGATTAAAGTGGTCTCATGTTGGTAGAACAAGGCTGGCAGATGTATACGAATATACATCTTTTCTGGAGGAAATAAACCTGAACTCAGGATGCCAAGAATTCACACAGATCAAGTTTCAAGGGAAATGAGTAGTTCACTATTCAAAGAATCATGAAGTACACACTTGGAAGCAAGGAGTCCTAAGAGAGAACTAGCAGAAATAGATCGACAGTCTAGGTATTAGTACCATCAGGCAAAGAATCAAAACAGGAGCTTACAAACAGCAGCAGGGAACAAAAACAGATTTAGAGGTGAATAAAACAGACTTCCAGAAATAAAAAAATACAACAGGTTGAGTGAAAACTCAACAGACGGATGGAATACCAACCAGACGGAACTGAAGGCAGAAGTACTAAAGACAACCTGAAAAAATGAGCAAAAATACACTCCAGAGAAGCAGAGATGAAATGCATAGAAGTTGAAATACACAGATAAGAAAGGGAGATTTAACTTACAATAAATCAAGTTCAAGAAAGAAATACCCCCGCCTCCCAGTTACCCGACAGCTGGCTGAGGTGACCTGTCTAGCGCCCACCTCTGGGTCTCAGCAACAAACAGTCAGGCAACACCAAGACGAGGAAAACACTGCCTACCCTTGGATGAGGTCTTGATTCTCTCTCACTTCAGTGGTCGTGTGTTTGTACATTTGTATCTTCCATGTAGTACTTCCTCTATTGCAAAGTTCCCCACCGTACTGATTTACTAAATTCTCCAGTTAAAAAAAGTAAGGGGTTAAAAGTTGAAACACTTATGGATCGGGTGGATGGTCTTATAGAGTATCTACTAGGACACACAACACTGAGGGAGAAAGTGAAAAAAGAGAGACCTACTTTTGTCATCTTTCCTGTGGTTCTCATGATAACGGTTCATAAATATATGTAAACAGTGAGTTTTAGAAACCACATACTAAGCTGGACAGCTGTAAAGCAGTTCATATTTTTCCAAAGGAGCAATGTTATAACTAAGGTCTGGGTTCCTGAGGCTTACGCAGCATATCAGTTGCAGATATGATCAAAGAAATGCCCCAAAGCAAGTATGCAAAATTACAGAGCTCGAAAGCAATTTCAAATATCAAAATTATGCTGCTGGTCCTAGTTCCATGGCTTAAAACAATGTGAACTGATTATCCAAGTACCCTACTATAAATACCCAGAAAAGCACACTCTGACACAATACATACTGTGTCATCAGAAATCTGCATGTTTGCAATAAGCATATCAATGTGAGTGAGCCGGTTGGGATTTGCCTTTAACTGCTCCAGAAAGAAAAGGCTGGGAAGAGACCAGATGAAGCAAGGTGTGCACAGTGCTGATACTTGCTGAAGCTGTGTACTTGGGGGGTGGTTTTACTACTCTCTTTACTGGGTGCATATCTGCAAACTTCTCATAATACAAGTTTAAGAACCTACACTAAATATTATAATTACTATTCAGTAGTTAATATTACCTAACAGCTTCCCTTACCTTCTTAATACTTAGAAAGACTCTTGGGGGAAAATGAGACAGATCAGTGACAACTGCCCATGGAAGGAGGCATTAGGATGGCTTCCCTCAGCAAGCAGTTAATAGTAAAACAACTTTAAAGCCCCCGCCCACCTTCAAGATGGGGTGATTACATGTCATTAAACCAAAGTGCAAAAGTGTAACTGCAGAGAATGAAGTTAGACCTATCCTAACACCATATGTAAAAAATTAACTCACAATGAATCAAGGATCTAAATGTGAGAGCTAAAACTATGAAACTCTTAGAAGAAAGCAAAAGGGAAAGAAAGGCTTCCTGACATGATATTTGTCAGTGGTTTCTTGGATGTAAAACCAAAAACACAGGAAACAAAAGAAAAAAATACATAAACTGGACTACATGAAAATTTAAAACTTCTGGGCACCAAAGTACACAATCAACAGAGTGAAAAGGCAATCCAGAAAATGAGAGAACACATTTGCAAGTCATACATCTGATAAAAGGTTAATATCCAGAATACATAAAGAACTCCTACAATTCAACAACAAAAGATCGACAATCTGATTAAAAAGGGGCAAAGATCTTGAACAGACATTTCTTCAGAGAAGATATACACATGGCCAACAAGCACATGAAAAGATGCTCAACATCACTAATCATTACAGAAATGCAAATCAAATGAGATACGCACTTGAAACTAAAAAAAACAAACAATGAGATACTACCTCATACTCATTAGATGTCTATTATCAACAAAACAAAATCACAAGTGTTGGAGAGGACGTGAGAAATCAGAACACTTGAGCACTGCTGGCGGGAATGCAAAATGGTGCAGCTGCTGCAGAAAACAGTATCAAGGTTCTTTAAAAAGTTAAACAGAAAAACAGATACTAGAGAAACTAGGAAAAAGGTAATATTGAAAAGAGAAATTTGCGGAACTGTTGAAAGACAATTCCCAGATTTAGAAAGCCCAGTCCTTTCTACTCTATTATAAACTGACATATTTGTAATATCTTCCATATGACTGTATGATCATCCTTTTAATTGCTATCCTTTAGCTTCCTTTAAAATTTTTGTGGGTTTAGTCTCTTTTTTCCCCTTAACATTAGAGTGTAAACTTAACTCATTTGTTTAAGTCCCATTGATTAAAACTAATAAATCTAGAAGTTCCTTAAAGCGGTGCTATGGAGAGGTACAAATTAATCTTAATGCTCTGTAACTCAGGAATTGTCCTGAACGAATGACCTTCGGTCACTTAAGTTTAGTTTTAAGAAGAGTTTACCCTAAAGAAACCAAAAGGGACCAAAATCCAAGTCAAACAAGTTACTGGCCTCACTTCCTACTAACCTCCATTTCCTGCCTTAACCACTCTTCTAATTCCGTATTCTTCATAGCATGATGAGCTATTAGATCTGAGCCTCCGATGATCTGTGGAAGTTTTCCTGCTCCAGGAAATGTGACCTGTTAAGTAGTAAAAGTTAACATGGTTAAATTCATTAGAAAATTAAGACAATCATTTTTGAAAAAGCTTAAAAAAAGTAAAGATTTTAAATCATGTATAAGTGCCAAAGATGTAATATAGCCTATAAATGAAAGGGAGTGAGACAGTGCAGTAACTGTGTTAGATCCATATGCTTTCGCCCTATTGTTTGGCTATTACTATACCCAGATTTAAATATGTAACTGGGATTTATGTACTAAGAGAATTTACAATTTTTAATTTGGAAATTTTATTCAAAAATGACCTTAGCTCATCATTTACCAATTCAAGATGAACACACACACACAGTAAATTATACTGTGTTCTAAAGATTTCAAAGCTTAAGTCCTTTCTAGTACTCATGAAAATTTATTTAAAACTTTCTAATTTCTATATCCTACCAAGAGATGTTGGAGACAGCAACAGTTTATACTTTTAATTGAAATTTTAATTGTCCACAAATAAAAAAGTGCTAAAAAATATGTGAAAATGTATTCAAGCACATTGGTTATACTGTACTTAGGGAGTAAGTAATAAATCCTTAGTATTTATGGACTTTTAAAAATTTCAATGTATCTGGTGGAAAGGGAATGTTAAATTAGTTTTCATCATTAAACAATATTTTCAAAGTACAAATACATCCACGTCATTGACTAGGTATACAAAGAAAAACTCCGACAAACTCTTTCATTAGAGGCAATCCATTTAAACATCTTTCCATACAATTTGGGTTGAAGTTCTTTTATATTCTCAAAATTATTCTTGGTCAAGGAGATTAATATTTTTAGGGGTTTTAAATTTTTCCAAACTACTTTCCAGAAATTTGTACCACTTTATATACTTCTTCATCACTCTTCGCCACAGTGAATATTATTGCTTTTACTTTGGTAACTTCATTAATAAGAAAATAATTATCTTTTGAATTTTGATTTAACTATGAGATCTTGTAACATAATATTGAACATGAAGTACCCAGGTGATAGATACAAATGCCCCGATGCTGATCATGAGCCACAGCTGTGGGGTGGGAAAGAGGGCGTGGATGCCGTATCAGTGGAGACATTCCCATCTTCCAGTCTTGAAGAGACTCTTTCTGGTAATGCAATGTCAATAACAGAAAACTACTTTAATGATAAATGTTAATAGTGGCTCACATTAGAGAGAAAAGGCTACACCACTACACGGTCACAGTAAGATTCAATCATGTCCTAGAAAAAAGCAGTCTTCCAAAGAAGTCACTTGTGCAAAGTTCCTGTACTTTCATCAAATGCATAAGCAAAAGCTAGCAATCCATAGTCAGCAGGTCGAAAGCAAAAGCAAACATCCCAGCATAGGGAGCAAAAGAACAGAGTCAGAAGCCTTCTTTTAACCACAGTGATAACATAATTACCTTTCAGTTCCTAACAGACAAGGAACTCGGTCAGGTCTGATAGCACTGTGTACACATCTGTTTTGTACATACATGTAATAACAGAACGCCTGGTTTTCATTATTGAATGTGCTCAGTTATTTTCAACACATCTGTTATCTTCATTAAGTCCTGAGTTCAAGAAGCCCTTCAGGAAGCCACACAGATACAACTGAGAGGACCCTCGCAATACAGCCAGATGCCTGCTGCTTAATTAAGGTGGGAAAGCCAATCTTGAGGAAGGTTGTTTCATTCTAGGTGTTGCATATATTCATTAACTGTCAGTTCATGTCCTTCTAGAGTAATTTTTTACCTGTTTTAAGCAGCACAAATAGCCTCAGTTTTCAACATGAACTGCTTTTATTACTACTCAGTTGTTGGAAAAGTCATGATGCATTTTTGCAACGAAAAACAGAAAAAATACGTCATGACTTTTCCGACAACCCAATATTTAGCAACAAACACTGCCCTCTTGTTATAGTATAATTAATTAAAGGAAAACATACCTTTCTGAATTTCTTGAAATTCTTCACTTGACCATAACCATCATTTACACTAGATGTGTTTCTGGAGGCAGAGTTACTAATCACCAGTGATCTAAATTCTGTCAGTAACACCTTCCTTGGCAGCTTCTCACCATCATCCTGAAGCCTGGCATTGTTCTTAGATGGGGTTAAGGATGGATGAGAAAAAAAAATACAAGGAAAAGAAAAATTACTTATCATTTAGGGGTCTGCAGAAAAAAAGGCCAAACATCTGAGAAAAACAGTTAAAAAGGTTTTTATGCCTGGAAGTTGTATCTGGAATCAAACTGTATTTATTTCAAAACCAGAAAATTGTTTATTTAAGTACTATAAACTTTAGAAATGTTTATAACATACTAATCTATGAGAGGAGGCTTAAAAACCATATAGCGTTTTTAATTTGGTGGCTTATATTAATGAATACCTCAATAAACAATTTATCTTCTTGTATAAATTTTCTTGGCAAGAAATCTCAGTATTATTTGCTTCTTTTCATTAAAACCATACACTTACAATCCGTTCTACAAGTTCTTATCTACTATATGTAAGACTTTTTGGATTTTCAAAAATTTGTATTTTTATTATTTTTGACACCTCAGAAAAATCAATTATTGATTCTGAACACAACAGTTCATTAACCGAAAGCCCCTTTTTATTCCAGATTAACAGTTATTAAATCAGCCTGAAGATCTTTCCTGTGGCTGGACAAGGGTTCTTTCTGCTGTTAACTATGCAGTTACGTAGCGACACTGTTACCGCTGCCCCAGGCTGACCATCTTAGGTTTTTAAGCTGCTTTACATGTACTCACATGGAAGTTGCTAACAGGACAAGATAAAGACAGTCAGGGAGAGAAGAAAAAAGGGAAAAGTCAAAAGAAAAGGTTCATCTGATAGTGACAGAGTATATGTAACTAGGAACTCTTAATAAAATAACAAGAGCCTAATACTTTTGTACTGTGTTTCAGAGTTTAGGAATTTTTCACATCTGTTACTTGATATAAACAACGGCCCTGTTGGAAAAGTGTCAACTTAATTTTATTAAACAAAGGACTTGAGGTTCATAAAGGTGAAAATGACTTATTCAAGGTCACTTATCTGAGGAGTAGAGGGCATGGAATTTCACTTAAGCTTTTTCTCCTTACTCTTTTTGCTATATCAGTTATAATATGATCTATCCATTTCCAGAGGGGGCACAACTATGAAATGACCAAAATATCAAAATAGAAATAATTAATCCTAAGAATGTAAACTGACAGAAAATGATGAGATAATGGTCCATGTAAATCAAATCTTTATAAAAATTAAATAAAATAAAAATTTCCTCACAGATGGTTCTTCTTCAGTTGACCATGGTAATTCTTTCTTGAGCTCACATTTCTTTTCAATTTCATTTTCTTGCTAAAGAAACAAAAAAATATGGTCAGAGGAGATATAAAATGGTACCTTTCTGAAAACTAGAGATATTCATGCTCCTGACCCAGTTATTTGACTTTCAAGTATCTTTCCTAGAGAAACTATGAGATGGGAATAAAAACATATGTAGCAAAAGACAATGTAGTATTGAGTTAGTTATAAGCACAGAGAGCTGGAAGCAATCTAAGTTCACATAAGTTACATATTTAAGGAACATTTAACAATATGAGAAATGACCATAAGTGAATAAAAACAGCTACAAAATTGCATTAACAGTGCATTCCAAGTTTGCAAAATATGATTTAAAAAGGAAATACTAAAATATTAACTATAGCTATTTGCAGACAGAATTATCAACAAATTGTTATATTTTTTATTTTCCATATTTTTACATTATTATGCATTACTTTTATAGTTAAAAATAAAAACAAACACTTTAGAAGAATTCTATCTAAATTTGTTGAGAAATGAATTTTATATCTCCCTTTATCCACAAAGATAGAAAGTTATTTAATTATTCGAGATGTTTATCTGTAACACTTGAGACTGCCTTGTATGCAATCATACTACCCTTCACAGTCACATATCCAGACTGTGTTCTAGACAAGAAGGCATCACACAGATGGCTTCTAATACTTTCAGTTAAAACTACAGTCCCTCTGGATACAATAGAGGGGTATATTGTTCTACATCAAAGTTCCAGTTATTCAGCAATAAAAATTCAGGAAATTTAATAAGACAGTACAGAAAAACAAATGTACTTTGTGCTTGCTTAGGGAATGAAGAGAATTAATGTCGTATGAAAACCTACATTCCAAGGTTCCGGAGTACTCTCACACACATCTCCCCCGGGAAGCTGTTATCACCCTGGGAACATGTTACTCCCCCACACCTGCTTCCCACCCCACCCTACTCCTTCAGGCCTGCTCAACCTCTGGAGCACATTTTCATTTCCTAGCTCAGAGAACCACACTACAACCTTCCCAGACACTCAGACTGTAAGCCTGGGAATCATCCCAGCTGGGCAGACCTGCATTTTTGTCCCAGCTGTCAAAACCTCAGCTCAGCGACCTTGGCAAGTTACCTACACCTCCTCCTGTCAGTTTCCTAATCTGTTGACTGCGTATAGTATGCTTCCTGGCTGAGCTGCTGTTACAGAATGATGGTTTCCAGTCCATGGCAGCTATTGCTATTGGGCTTTGGAAGATGCTACAGTAATGCGACAGAAGGAAACCTTAATTTAGAGTCAGATAGGGAATGACGTGAAGAAGAGCAATTGTGGGGCGGCTGGTTAGCTCAGTTGGTTAAAGCGTAGGCTTATAACACCAAAGTTGCCAGTTCGATCCCCACATTGGTCACTGAGTTACACTCTCCACAACTAGACTGAAACTACTTGACTTGGAGCCGATGGGTCCTGGAAAAACACACTGTTTCCCAATAAAAAAAAAAATGAAGAGATATTGTGCAGACAGTGGGTGCTGTTAAGCAGAGGAATGTTAACAAGGACACCAAGTCATGTGTGCATTTTCTGGAGACTGGGAGGACTGAAAGCAAGGCAGACAGAGCTGCCATTTATATCAGGATAAATTCCTAGCAGGAGTATCTAGCCAACAGCTTTCTATTTCAGCTTATAGAAAATCTCAGACATGCTAGAATCTATATTTAAATCCCAAAACAGAAAAATGGCAGTTCTACCATCAACAAATTTTAGAAATTGACTTTCTGAAATATGGCTAAGGAATCCAATGTCGGCGAGAAGTATCACACTTTTTGTCTTTATAAAACTGCAGTAAGTTTTCTAAGTGAGAGGAATGAGAAATATTTTTTCTGGTATCATTTCTGCAGCTGGAAATATTAAGTGCAATTCCTTTAATCCAGGGCACCCACAAGGACTTTCATACAGGAATTTCTTAAAATGACAAAACTGAAAAGTAAAAATAATCTCAGGTTGTCTAAGGTTGATGAATTCTATACACGTCAATTTCCTGGCTGTGACGTTGTATGTAGCTTTGCAAGGTGCTACAACTAGGGGAAACCGGGTGGAAGGTATATGGATCTCTCTATATAATTCTTCACCATTACATGTGAATTAACTATTACCTCAAAATGGTTTTTAAAAGCTATGTTATACTAAAAGTAAAACTAATTTTGTTACATTTTCACTCAAAAAATTATAGGGATTTTGGGCCGGCCGAGTGGCGTGATGGTTAAGAACTGGCTTGGGACACCAGAGGGCCCCGGTTCGGATCCCACATATGAGGGCCGGTGACACTGCCCTCCACACACACAAAAAAAAAAATTATAGGGATTTAACTTTTAGAATATCCAAAAGTGTGCCACAATCAAATTGCTACTCATTCTCCAAAAGTCTAGACGACATATTTATTTTGTTCCGTATTTTTATTTAGAATGTCATGAATTCTGAAATAGTAAAATACAGGCCAAGGAAATCATGCTACAGAATCATACAGCAAAATAAAGTAACTATATTCCCTGGTCTCATCACGTAGCATGTCAGCTTTGGCTAGGAAATGAAAGGTCTCTGCAGGTCCACACAAGGCTGTGGGACTGTCCTGCATCTCTGGGTCCGGCCGCACTTCCTGCCTTTCCTGGCCTGGGCTCTGGTGCCCAGTTCCTTGAGTTTGTGAGCACTGGGAGAACGCGTGGTCTAAGAAGATATTTAGGAAGACCACTTAGTCATACAGGTGGGACCAAGGAGCTGTGGCTAAAACCTGAACCATTTCCAGACAGAGCTGTGGCCACTGGGGGCAGTAGACCAATCAGGTATAGAAGTGCAGGAGAAGGGAAAAAAAGGCTAAAAAAAAAAGGATTAACATATGTAATAGGACAAGATGAGAGAAAGAAAAGAACATATCAGGAAAAATTAGAAAAAAAAAACAGGAGAAAAGGGAACCACAAGGCAGATACATTCCCAAAGGTGTGGCCAAATTAACAGAAATGAGGCCTTTCTGAAGACTGAACGCTAATAACATTAAGGGGCCAAACACAGATTCTGGCACAGTCTGCAGCTAAAGTGACAGTGTAAAGTCACCATGCAAGGGGAATAAACATATCTTTATAATGAGATGCAAATGTGTTGAACTTAGATCATCCCGTGGATTTCGCTGAATGCCACATTCCCGTGGTGCCAAACTAACCGGCCTAGCTCGCCACTGTGGTGGCAACAGCCACACAAGTGACCTGTGGATATTTAAATCTCTGATAATAAAGGACCCTGTGTTTCTGAAGCTCTCAGTCTGGCTAGAGGCTGATTTCAGTGCCCGTTCTCTTTCTTCCTCACAATTATCACTAAGTTCATTAGGGATGGCCACACGCCAAGTGTGAAACATACCCCCAACTCTCGTCTAGACTGGGAGTGAGGGAGGGGCAGTGGCACTGACCATGACTAAATTCTGGCCAATAACACAAGTTATCAGTGGGGTTTCTGAGGAGAGAAAGTCAAGTGGAAAGGCCTCTGCCCTGTCCTCTCTCCACTCTTCTTCCTCCGTGGAAACTGGCATGATGGCTGGAGGTGCCACACCCAGAACAGGAAAGCAGACACCAGGGACGTTAACACCGTGGGCTGCCACGCCACCTTGGTGACCTGCGTCCAGGCTTCTTTTATAGAGAAAAAATAATCTTATCTTATTTAAGCCACTGATATTAGAATTTTTAAAGGCCACAAGAAGAATTCTTAACTATTGGGCTGTCGGAAAAGTCATGATGTACTTTTTCTATTTTTCGTTGCAAAAATGAGTCATGACTTTTCCGACAACCCAATAATACAATGAGGGAACCATTTCTGGGAAGAAGATTGGGTGCACGAGTCAGGATTTCTGGGGCTCTGCTCTGTGAACCCATATTTAAAAGGCTCACCAGGTAAAAACCTCACCTGGTGAGGTTTAATAATAAATAATGAGGATTCTCTCCCTCATGTGAAGATGCCAACATACAGGCCAAAGAAGACATATGCCTTTTTCTTTTACTAGTTACTGATATACACATGGCTTGTGCACACTAAGTTCTCAGCTTATCCTCATAATCTTACCCATTTCCCTTTACTAAGTCCTGTGCTTACCCAGTAGCTGTTTCTAATGGAGTGACCACACATGGCCATAAACGAGAGAAGAGTAATGGGTCTATGTGGACATCAGAATGTTCAAGTCTGATTTCATGAGGTCTGTGCTCTCACCTCGTGAGCTAACGGGTCTCCAGATTGCAACTTCCTGATGCATAAAACAGGAAGTAATCCCAACAGTTTTCTTAGACCAAAGTGGGCAAAGACAGATTATCAACATTCATGAAAACAGGATAGGACATTAAAGATCAAAATGGAAAAAAAGTATTCCTAGTGATGTTACACATGTTTTAACCTAAAAATTTATTTACTGGATACTTTGTTTGACTTTATTTCTTCATCTTTCTGTACCTGTTTACTAAATTAAGGGGCATCTCCTATACTTGCATTCATTGCCAAATGTTTGATATAATAGTACAGCTAGAAATCTATTAAAGCAATCATGAACAAGAGTTTTATTCATTGTCACATACACTTTTAAAGAATCACTGTACTATTAACATTTACCTTATCAACCAACAAATTCTTATACTTAACACTGAGTGTTGAAGATATTAATTTTTTCTCAAGGAAACGTAACAGATGCTCATACTGTCAATACAAATACCTGAAGTACTTCTTAACATTCTAAGTCTCTATTTGCAATACTTTTCATTAAAAAAAATGTTACTTACAGTTATTTTGTTACTTTCTAATATTCTGTCATCATTAAAAGAGCCATTTGTTTCTCTATCCAATCTTGGCCTTTTTCTAATACTGGCATCTTCCTCTTGTTTTTGAACTTTCACTTCAATTTCTAACTCTGGTTTTGTGTTCTTGAATAACTGTTCCAATACTTCATTTTCTATGGCTTCATCATCGGTTTTTCTTTTCCCTGATCTTGGTTTTTCTGTAGAAAGAGACTTACTGGCAGAGCTGTTCACAGTGGGTTTTAGGTCTCTGTCTGTAAGTCCGTTACGCGGGATTCCCCCCACAGGCTCATCATGAGCTACATGCTGTGCCTCAGTTTTCCAGGCCGTCAGTGCAGCAGGCTGTGTCTGTTCCAAAACAGAGCACGACATTTCCATTTCTGTTCTTGCTGATTTAGATGAAGAAATTTCTTGACTTTCTTCATCTCTTTCCCTTAGATTTTAAAAAGGGAAAGAAAACAAGAAAAACAATGAACACAGCTAAGTTATTTAGTAGTTGGGCAATATTTACCCCCTCCCCTATTTAATTCACAATATTCTTGATTTTATTCATTAACAGTATCACTGGAAATAAAATGCAATATATATGTAGATGATGTATTATAGATATGTACATTTGAAACATATAATTTTACTAACCAATGTCACCCCAATAAACATAAAAATTAATAAAGAAAGAAGACATGTGAAAATAGTGCATAATTCATATACACTCTGTTTTGAGAGGACTGACCAACCCTATGGCTAAAAAATATGGAAATGTCTGTCTTCTCTGCTCAAGTAAATCAATGTGGAGAAAAAGGGAGAAAAATATGAAAATGCAAAGGACTTGCTACCAGGAAACAGCAGCTTACTTTATGATATAGGGAACTTGTGGGCAAGGAAAAGCCAGGTCGGGACTAAAACTTGATGTTAATGAGAGCTGGAGTCAAAATAAGAAGTCAAAGGGGCTAAATCCAGAATATACGACAGACTTCACCCTGCCAGTGACGTGTGACTATGTGACTAAGAGTTTTCTAGACAACACGGCACCATTCATTCCGTAAGTACTGAACACTGTACTCAGGTCTCTGCGCCCCAGGAGTCTGCTGGGTTCAAGGTGAACAGGAACACTCAACGTGACAGTTCAATAATTCTAATCTAATGTCAGGGCACTGGACAGACTGATCAAGAAGTTTCTGTAATAAGTTAGGCAGTCAGAGTGTGACCCAGAGAGCCGGCAACACAAACCGATGGAAAGGGAGGACTTTATAAGGCAATGAAAAGAAGAATCAACGCTACTGGTCTGGGAAGGCAGAGGAGGAAGTCAAAGATTTTGACGAAGTGTACTACTGACCAAAAAAAAAAATACACAGTCAGTCACAGGGGAGAAAAGGTTTTAGGCCTATTGTTTGGAAAAACAGCTCACAATTCCCATGGACAAGTAGAAGTAAAGGCTCAAGGGTAAGTCAGAGCCAAATGTGTCGATCGCTTATAATAATGTCATGAAACCATGGACGCAGAATATAGAGGATAAAAAGCAGCAGCGGGAGGAAAGAGCTGCCAAGGAAAAGGGCAGAGGGCACGTCAGAGAGGGAAAGAGCCGGCACAGGCCCCTGCCACAAGCGACAGGAGACGCGGGAGAAAGGGCCCTGGAGTCGGCAGGTGTCAGTGCTTACTTCCAGGGATGTCGAGTCAAGAAGAAATGCTGGTGGTTTAGAAACATCTCTAACAGAAATGGGAGCAGTCACAACCGCCTCCTTTTCTGAGACAAAAGGCAGCAGCTAGAGGAAGAAATCACGTCAAGGAAGGCTCTGAAAGGGAGACAGAGCTCCTCAATACAGAAGACAACCTAGAAGAAGACATAAAAGGTGCCAGAAACCGAGAGTAACTGATGGAGTAGGCCCTGCCTCCTGGAAGTGACAGGGGTCAGCAGGGAAACAGGCAGGTGGAAACTCGGGTGTGGGGAAGCGCTTCTTCACGACACCAATCAGACAGGTGCGCTAAGGTGCACAAGAAACAAGGGGACAGAGATTCCATCTAAGCTCTTAGTGAGGGAGCAGATTCCAACATTCCTGACAGGAAATAAGGTCAACGGGCTGCAGTTTTCCAGAATAAACACCCTTCTGCAATCACATAACAAGTATCAGTTTTTCAGAGACAGAGAGGTGGTGTTAAAAATGTACCTTTTTTTGGTGCATGGCTGGAAGTAGTTTTTGATGGAGTTGGTCTGCGGCTGCTGGGAAGCCTCTCTACTTCTGTTTACACCTGGGGACTTGGCTGGTGAGAGCTGACAGTTTGGGATTTTCATCCTAACCAGAGTATTTGATACTAAAGTATTATTACTGGAGCCTATTTTCGGGGGTTCCTTCACAGTGGATGTGTCCTGTGAAGACACTCCGAATCTTTGTTCCATTCTGGAGATCTTTGTTTCTTTTCGCCTTTCACTCAAATCCATTCTGTAGCAAAAGAAAAGAATGCACAGTAATCAAGTTCATAGCACTTTTTACCTAGAAACAAAGTCCATTAAGTAGTACTGAGGTAATATATTAGGTTATCAAAAAAGTCATGATGTATTTTTTCTGTTTTTCATTGTAAAAATGTGTCATGACTTTTCCGATAACCCAATAGCTTTAGAACATCATATGCTTAAGACAATAACTCAGCAAATTTCCCAAGAAGTAGTCTCCTGTGTCACCAAGGACCCCTGAAGACAAATGATACCTCTCTCTTCCCTTCATCCCCTCAGCACATATTGTCAGGCAGGCTCTTCCATGAAAAACTGCCCCCCACACCCCACCCCCACACACAGAATATCAACCTAGGAGTCTCTTACAAATTAAATGAGGTGATAATACTAGGTAATTTTTGCTTTGTTTAAGATTTTAAAATTATTTCCATTTAAAAATAATAATAAAAAATGGAAAAGGAGAAGAAGATCAGCTTGCTGATCCCTGACCTAAAATCTCACGTTCCCTAGCATCCCCCTCTCCCAGGCTTCATCTTCCACGAGATGACCTGATAAAGGCACTGACTCAATTACTGATCCAATTGTTGGCAGGGAAGCTTTACCCAGTGTCTGCTTGCTCTGACTCGGTGTCAGCTACACAGGGCAGAGTGTTCACTGGGACGCTTGGCATTGGCTGTTCTTGGACAGACAGGCCCTGGGAAAGGCTCAGCCCTGGAGTCTTCGCCTTCAATCCTGTAAATCAAACAAGGGAAAGAAAGAACACAATCGCTGGACACAGGACGGACCTCTGGCCACTCACCACTGCTAGCCTGTGGTGCACTGCGGGAAGACGGCACCAGGCAAGACAGCCCATGGTTGTCATCTCCAGCCAGTGGAGCCAACACCACCTTATGAAAAGGCCTCTCAGCAGCCTGGGTGGCATCTGTAACAAGCTCATCTGAACCAACTCATTTTATAGCTACATCAAATACTTTGTGGTCAAGTATTATCAACTTAAATAAAAAAGCATAGTTTGATTTAGAATTTAAGTTGGTTAAGTTATAAGACTAAAAACTTGCATTTCTTCCCCAAGAACGTGTACCTACCCTGCCACCTACATAAATAAAAAATTAATGTGTTTTTAATTGTTAGGAGGAATACACTATTTGTAAAAAAATACATGAACAGTTTTAGACACTAATTTTTGCTTCCACAGAAAACCATGATTACTTCGTGACTATATTTACCAGGACAGCCGCTTCATTCGACTGCCACTCTTCAGGCACACGTGTCTCAACCCTCCTGCAATTAAAGTGGGCGCTGCTCGCTCTGGCTCCTGTAACGGCCCTCACACCACCCTGTTCACTTTTCACACACTCATCACTGCTGTGCGACAGGCGTTATTTAACTGCTGTGCCTTACTTTCCTCATCTATAAAATGGGGTCACTATAACATTTTCCTCACCAAATTGTTCTGAGAGCAGAACGAACTGAACTGAGACATGGACAGAACTCAGGAAAAGGCATGGCCCACGGTGGGCATGGTGTCCGGGAGCGGTCATCGCTGCCTCACTCTACACCACCTCGCTCACCTGAGACTTCCCTATCTTGCTGGGCCTGGACCAGCGGCTGAGCTCTCTACCCACAGTCCCCGAGCAAGGTCTGCTATGGAGTGCATATAAGTCAGTTAATGGAATTAAACTGTCAACTGAAAATTTTAAAAGTTGACATTTACAAGTAAATTATCACTGTTAGGTCCTCATGACGTGGGATGTGTTTCATACATGTTTACTACTGATTCCAAAGTCAGGTGTTTAAACAACTTCTGCCACTCCCTTATGTGACCACCTTAGAAGCCTACTGGCATTTCCTTAAACAGACATACCCCTAAAATTCATTGTAGCTTGCACAGAATTTTGCCCAAAATAGTAATTATGGATACTATATAATCACTAAAACAAACATTTATAAATGGAACCCGAGGACCAAGAATAAGTAATGCTTATCAACGATAAGGCTGTTTACACTGTTCTCTATGCTGGCAGGCATCTGCTCTAAACTGCTCACCTCTTCATTCTAGTGCTTAGAATAATTACAGTCAATACTCTTTGCATAAGTAAACGAGTGGCTATGGAAGGAAAGGAGGAAAGAAAGGAGGGGAAAAGGGAGGGAAGGCGACATGCCTTCTCTCTGCTCCATCAAACCTGGCTGTGTTCTAAAACTGTTGGTAAGTCAGATATCTATCACTTTAGAACCTCACGGGCCCACCTGTGAATATGTGTAAGCAGTCACACTTCTAATTATAAGGTAGATTTTTACCAACTCCTTATGACCTGTTTCTGTATGACATGATACAATAGAAAAGGTACTGGTTTAGTCAGAAAATTCGAATTTTAGGATTGGTTTGGACATGAAGTATCTATGGGACCTTAAATTTTGTCAGCCTTGAGATCTCTTACCTTTTAATAAGACAGATTAGATGATCTCTAAGGCCCTTTCAGCCATGAATACATTTCCAAAGTGGATGATAAAATCTGGATGCACCACGCTGGCAAAGATAATCATGTGTGCCAATAACTTATTTCAACTAGGCAAATATTCATACCAAGTACAAACAAGTCCTGTGCTTGGTGCTATCAGGGACTCCAACATTAGTAAGAGCTTACAATCAATCTAGCGGCTAAAAGGCATGGATAACAACTTGCTACATTTCAAAGTAGGAAGAAACTCTAACTGGAATGCTCAAAAAAATTACTGGTGTACACAAGAGAATAGCTCATCTGACTTGGAGGAGCGTCACGGGAGAGAAAACCACCTAGAAAAACTTCACGAGGGACACGAGCGTCTGTCGGGTGAGTTGGATGTGGAACGGCAGTCTTAGTGTTCCTGGCACAGGGACGACGACGAGCAAGGTCACGGGGTGTGGGAGCTGAAGATCATGCAGCACATGGATTCTGTAGGGAGGCATGTTTCTACAAGGTGAGGATGGAAGGATACAGGCTACAGCGAAACTGCACAAGGCTCAGACGTCTAGAAAAGGGCTTGGGGTCCACTCTGCTGATAATGAGAGCGAGCCAAGTTTGAAAGGGAAGGTGACCCTTGTGGCACGGTGAAGCATTAACTGTAGAGAGGAACATGGAGGCAGGACCTCTACTGCCTTCAAGAAGGGCAGACATAGAGGGTTCACACAGGGCAGTGGCTGTGAGAAGGGGAGCTTCTCAAGGCAGCAGGCCTCTTGGGCAGAAGCTGCAGAGGGAGAATTTCAGGTCTCGTAAAAATAAGAAATGACTGATGTTTGTAGTCAGAGGTTTCCTCGTTTACATCAAAGAAGCTCCTCTCTAGTTTAGTCCTTCCCTAGATATTCTGACCCAGAGGTTCTTGGCACTTGTATGATAAACACAAGCTTAAAATCAATCAAAACAAACCAAAAAAACCCCAGATACCGTGGCCACACCCCAGAATATTCTGAATTACAGAGAATGACTCTAAGTTGACAAAAGTTTCTATAAAAGCACATATCTAGTTGAGAACTAGTTTGCTAAAAGACAAACAAAGGACAGTTGTCCCAATCAGGGGCTGGGACAAGGACAGCTAGTCACTTAGATACAATGACCCTGCTTTATACGTTTCTGTTGTATTAGTCCGAAATCACTGACAGGTTTTTTGTTTTGTTTTTTCTGTAACAGAACAGAAATCAACTGTGACAAAATCACATCTACAGCGATGCTATTTCTAAAGGTTGTGCAGCTTCTCCAAAAACCTGGCTCTCTTTGGTATCCACATGGAAGCAATTCCGTCACTGAGAAGCTGAAGAGTTGGCGTTTCACTTCTGCCCTCTAAGGATAAATTCTGGGAATGTTCATCATGTCACAATTCCAGCAAAATGAGTTATGTGGAAATACTGGAAACTTCAAGCACTTAAAACTTTGCAGATGAAGGTTAGCTACATAGAGACAGAAACATACCTAGTATACTCACTGGGAAAGAGTTGAGATAGAGGGTGAATAAGCATTCTTACCGAAATAGTAAAATACTAGCTGGTCAAATTTTTTATCAGACATCTATCCTTTTACATCTGATTCCCATCAACCCCACACCACCGTTTCTCAAAACTCTACACATTGAAATATATTCCATCTGTGCTACAGTGTAATATTTTAATACCTTCCCTGAAGAGTCAGTTTGAATGAAATGATTTGCTACATGATCTTTGGCTAATTTCTTAACCTCTCTGTACATCAGTTTCCTCATTTATAAAGTGCAGATGATCTCATCTATCTTAAAAGGATTGCTTTACAGATTAAATTTTGATGACATACAAATCGCTTACTTCAGTCTCTGCAAATTCTTTTAAAGACAGTTGCTGCTATTACTAATCATTATCAGTGATGCTCTACACACCTCATCAGTTCCGGGTCACTAGGCTTTCATAGCTCATAGCACGTTTCTAACCTGTCTAAACCAGGGTGCAGAGTAGAGACCCTCAATGGGCCACACTGTGAATGACACCCCTGGAGAGGATGGTGAGGCAGTGCTGTCCTAACTTGTCTCTCGTGGCCCAAGTCCAACCACTGACAAACAACTACAGAGAGAACCAGAAGGCAAGCAAATGCACACAGGAACCACAGTGGATGCTCTGATAGCTATGCAAAGAGAAGGGCTCCTAAGGAGAAGAAACATATGTCTATCTGAGGTACGAAAGCAAGAAGGAAAGAAGAAATGAATCATCATGACAGCAACATCAGCTTATTTTCAAGAAAAGTAGGGTAGGTGTTTTAACTAACAAAGGGTGAGAGCTGCTACCTGAGCACACAGGCTCGGTGACAGGCAATGCTGATGACGGTAGTATGCACTCTTCACCCCACTGCATGGCACCACCATCCAACCTGTCACTCATGCCCCAAACTCCTCCTATGCCCAGGGATCTGCTGGGCCCAGATCCCAAATACTCCTGACCCTGTTCTTTCTGCTTCTCCACTACTGCCACCAGGCTCTCCCACCTGGACCGCCACGAGCGCTTTCTACTCGTGTCCCCACTTCCATTCTGGCCCCGGGGAACCCACTCTCCATAGATGCCACTGTGATCTGCTCCTCCTCGCTAGCACTCTGCCCCAAGGTCCTTCCGTGCCATGCCGCCTCTCATCACGCAGGACGCACGAGGCTCCGATGTTACATCCTCAGACATGACCACCCGCCTCAACCACCCACTGAAAGGAGCCCGCTCCTCGTCGCTACCACATCACCTCACTGCAGCTTTCTCTTTTTACCTGGCCATGACAGAGCTTACCAAAATGTCTGCCTGCTTGCCTGCTAACTGTCTGCATGACCTTTATAGTACACAGTTCACAGTGACAGGTAACTTGTTTCTTGATTCACCACTGTATCTTCAGCACCTAGAACATTACCCGGTATGCAGCAGCCACAAATCTTTATCAATGAATAAATGACGGAATGGAAAAGGTGAGTTTTAAAAGACGGTGGAAATGGTCACCCGTCATAAATATACAGTAATGTTCAGACAGCCTATCATCAATTTACATAATAAATAAAGTTGTTGAAGAATCGATAAAATAATACTTTAATTACCTGGACTGGGCTGGGCCTGAGGATCACAGTAATTCTCTGTAGTCATGAAAATAACTGCCAATCCAATTTCTGCTTCAGGAATAGGTCTGAGACCCTGCCTAGTAGAATAAAATAGTATGATATCATCTTCCAATTAATAAACTTATTAAGATGATGTCAAGCTGAATCTTTTTTTTCCCCAAAGAGGAACAGCAGTTTTATGGTATGGAGAGAATTTCAAATACTCAGAGTACCAGCTTGCTCCCTGGAGCAATGTCACATGGGCAAGTCCACCATGTTTCACTAACTCAGTCCTGTCACCTGCAGTGACTAACAAGGGAACAGATCCTTCCAGGTGCAAAATTCTGTCATTTTCAGGGTAAAGAGGAAACTAACACCCAGATGAAGCAACAAAATATGTTTTTATAAGCAAATCTATGTTTATTAAAATCTTGAGATGAAAGAAAGAAGAAGCTGGGGGGGAGTACAAAGAACTACATATAAGCTATATGTACACGTTATGACTCTTCGAAGTTTAGTAAGTCAAATCATTTTACCAATTTACATGTGTTAAGGAATCTTACTGTGAACCTATTTTCTATTGGTCTAGAACAAGAATAATAACTGTTTTATAGAACAGTAATGCAACACAGTGTCATCGCTCCACTTAAGTCCTGGAGGCTCACTAAGCTGTGTGTGTGTCACAGTCCCTCCTCTCCACTGCTGAGTTGCACCTCACAGCGCAGCTGCACTAGTTTGTTCAGTGCTTCACCCACTGAAGGAAAGCTTCTTCCTTTTCCACCTTTCGTGATAAAGTGTATCTGCTACGAACATTCACACACAGGTTCCCATGTGGGGAAGCTGGGCGAGGAGCGCCATGTAGGCAGCTGTACTTAGGTTCAAGCATCTAGCTTGTAGTTTGGGGAGGGGGCAGATTCGCAAACACGTTACCTAGTTTTAAGTAACTATTAAATAATCAGTGAACAAAATGCATGTGTGTTACTGGTGGTTCAGCAATGACAGCATCTCGTGAACCAAGGATTATGAGTCATCCAATTTGTGCAAAGCTGCGAAATGGGTGAGGAGAGGACAAAGAGAAATAATTATAGTGCTAACGGGAAGAGTTCTGAATGTGAGCTAGGATTCTCGGAAAACACCTCAGCAAGGACAAAACCAGGGTTATCCTGTCCCCCTAGACATATGGAGTTTTAACCGAGGCATGCTACACCCACTAGGACAGCTCATCAAGACAGCAAGGCACTGGGCCGGCCGAGTAGCACGTTGCTTAAGAGCTGGCTTGGGATGCCAGAGGGCCCCAGTTCGGATCCCAAATATGAGGGCCAGTGACGCTGCCCTCTAGCTAACATACTGAACAACAGCTCAACCTGGAGCTGGATTGCCGTCAGTCGCCGGCGACAGCGTAGGCTGCAACCCCTGCTGCAGTGGGTTGCCATGGGCTACTGTGTGTAGCCAGCAGCCAGCGTGAGCGGCCGTCCAGAAGCTGGCGACTGATTTGCCTCGCCTGGGAAGAGCATTGCAATGATGGTGCCAACTTGGGCCAGTGAAGCAATGTCCTCCACAAATAGACTGAAGAACAAAAGGACAGCAAATTGTCTGTTCCCATTCCCTCAATTCCCCAGTGCTGTTCCCATCCCCCAATTCCCCAAAAATCTTAAAAAAAAAAAAAAAAGACAGCAAGGCACTAAGAGGCCTGATGTCACCCTGCTGTCTGACTGCCGCCAACAGCTGGCTTCACCGGCCATTTCCTAGCCGGCCTGGACTAAGAGGATGGGTACTGTAAGTGATGTCTTCCTCAAGCTTTAAAGCTGTCTTCCTTCCAAAACCAAACTGCACCAGGGGCTAAATGCTAGAGCATCCAGTGCATCCCTTGGTCTCTGCACAGGAAAGGCAGTGAGACACAATGGCGACGGGCATGCGCTCTGGAGCCAGGCTCTGGGTCACATCCCCGTCTTCTCAAGCCCCGCTGGCCCTGTGCATGTGGGGACCGCAACAGTAAATGATACACAGGGCCGTGTGTTTGTGCACGCAGAGCTACTGGAACAGAGCTGGCTGCACAGAGGTCTGTAAACGCAGCTGTCCTGCTGCCGCTCTGCGGACTCTGGGGCTGCCCGGAGGTACGATGCTGCCTGGAAGGCTTTCTCTAGAATAACCTTCTCCCCTCTGCCCTGTCTCCTGCTTCCTTTATACACATTGTAATTATCCATGTACTTGTCTGCATCTCTTTCCTGATTGACAGCAAGCTCCAATGGCTGCCTTGTTTACCATCATATTCCCAGCCTAAAACATAACAGAACCACAGTAAATTTTGGTCGTAGTAGTAAGATGGCATCTTTGTTACACAGGTATTTTCTTTTTCACAGCAATAAATATGTGTCTATCTCCTTTAAGTAAAATATTTATGATACAAATAACTGAAATTTTACTCTTTCCTTCAGCAACCCCATAGAAGAAAAACAACAAAAAAGGGATCTCCATAGTCAGAAGGACTCCTGGCACAGGAAAAAAGAATAATGTACGGAGGTAGCTACGGGCTTTTTAGGCATCTGAGCACCCTAGGCCCTAATTATAACACTTGTTGCTAGGTGAATAGAAATGTAGTCACCATACTGCCAAGCCTGAAATTTTCACAATACTTTTTGGCTCCAATAGTGCTAAGATTATGAACACCAATAAAGCGTCTAGGAAACAAAAACCCTTGATTTAGCTCTATCACACTCTTCCTCCCCACTACAAACACTATTATAAGAAGATATCTGACATTTTTTTCCTGCTTTCCCATGATAGCCTATATAAGAGGAATAAAATTTTTCATATGCATTTTTTAATGGGTAATAATCATCAAGTGACAAATACATTTCAGGTCGAGGCAATTGCAGACAAAAATTTACATTTGAGTTGTAACTTTCTGAACTGCTACATATTTTACCGAAAAACTTAAATACTACTTCATTAATTTAGAAAGGTAAATTCTGTAAATTCTATTAAAATTAAGAGGCAGAAAATAAATACTGAATAAAATTATGGATAAAGATATTCTATTGCTAGCATACTAAGTCACAATAAATTTTCAACTACTACACACAATAAAATCTTTCTGATAATTACAGTAATACTTTTCATTGTTATATGGAACACAACAAAAATTACATGTAAAACCATCTACTTGCACATTTTTATACTAATAAAGAGTAAGTCTGTACCTTTGGAGCATATCCATAATTGAATGAACCCATTTTTTCTGAGAGTCAGAAACGAAGGCCTGTGAATTTGTTATTCCTACATCAACAACACAAGTTCCAGGAGCTGAAAAAAAACTATTTTCTTCTTCATTTTCTTCTGTTATCAACCTAGTATTTCCTCCTCCAAAAACAACTGCTGAACTCAATTTTTTATGCTATAAAGGAAAAAAGAAAAAGAAAAAAAGGCATAAAATAGCCACAATTACTCGAGTACATTGTAAAATTGGGAAGACTTTGATTTGGAAGTAAAATAAAAGCAGAGCTGAAGTAGAATTGGCTGTGCTTCTTGGGAGGACACTCTGTTCCACTCCGAGGAGATGCCTGGGTCACAGAAGCCCTGCGGCCGGGCAGCATCACATTGTCCAGGGCTCCCCACACAGCACATCCACTGTGGGCTGACCTGCATCACTTCCCATCTAGGACCCAAACCCCAACTCTCAGCACACAGATGACATTCAACAGCTGTTCTAACTGAACAAGTTAGAACTTAAACCAAAGTTTTTTGTCCCCCCCCAACTTACATAGTTATATAAATTTAATAGGCCAATTAACAGGTATTATAATCATATACATGAACAATGGGCAGGTTCTGGTGCCTGGGCAGTTTTCATTCCACATCACACTTCTATACAAAATACCGAAAGAAAATGAATTAACAACTATTGATACCAGTAATAATTTGTCCTAGTTTATAACAAACATTTTCTTTTGGAAAATTTAGCTTATAACAGTACCTGCTTGGCATTCAGGAATACAAATGTTTTCCCTCTGAAGATCTGTTTTCTTTCCTGTCGTTCTGACAGGTCAATATTTTCACTCCCAATAGCTGGTTCATCAATAGGTGGGTAAAAACTGTAGAAACAAAATTAAAGTATATTCTAGTTATATACTGCTTGTAAATGTGCCATTACATTTGTAAATGAAGTAGCTACCTGGATACTAAAGGACTTAATTTCCATAATACCATTTAATTGTTTTTAAAAAGGAAGTTTTTATCCGGGACAAAAATAGCAAAAAGCATTTAAATGCTTTTTCTAGAAATATGGTGACAGGTGCCACATAGGTTAATAGCACTGTTCATTATTTCCTGAAAATATATAATCCAAAGGTAGATAATAACAAGACCCAATTAAATATACCGGGGGTGACAAAAAAATGTTTACACATGACTTGTATTCATCTTTTGTTATCGATACATATTATTACAATTTTAACAGTTTTTTTCCCTTTCTTAAAATGTGTATACATTTTTTTGGCACCCTGTGTATATAACTCAAACAAGTTATATGAATTACAAAAGTGTTGAGAGAGACATTAATCATAAAGATCAACTTCTATTATGTATTAATAATGTCCCTATTCCAATTCTGTGAACTACTACTCTAAGTGTTTTGTTATAAATCTCTGGAGAAGCTCAAGAAATTAAAACTTACATTATTCTGTCAGTTTAAATAAAATTTCCAAAGTGAGGTTTAAAAATATAATCTTTTAGCTCTTTAAAGGATGCTATAAAACCATCCTAATCGTCCATGGAAATGAGGGAAAAGAAGAAATTAGAGACGTAAAATCAAGTTAATTCTTAAGCCTCTCCTCAGCTCACAGTTTCAACTTTCTATAATATATAATCAGATCTTTTGCAACAGCTATTCGTAAGTGACCAACCTCTCAGCTTATCTCCACCTTCCAGTAAAAATCACTAATGTTCATGGATAATGGAAGACCCAATATTGTCAACTTGTCATTTCTTCCCAACTTGATCTATAAATTCAATGCAATTTTCCTATAAAACTACCAGCAAGCTATTTCGTAACTGACTCTCAGAAGAAATGAGCTCCACTCCCCCACGGAGCTGTTACTGTTCGGGCCTGGGGCCACGGGTACAGGAACAGGGCTGCCGCCCCACAGGCCCAGGGGTCCATGTACTGGCGCTGGCACAGCCCACGTGCCCTATTGCCTGCAGCTCTGTGCTCTGCACTGCCTGCCCTCTGTGTGCTCTTTACTTACTGGCACACGTGAAATATTGGCACACATGAAACATCATTTCACCAAGATTAGAAACAACCAATTGAGCATTTGGGGATCCTTACTTTACACGCATAAAACCTCTCTAATAAAACTGAACTATAGCATTAAATCCTAAAATAATCATTAAAGGGGGACTTAATCTAAATAAAACCAGTGCCACCGTATTTTGTATGTCATATTTTATGTAAAACACATGAAATACCTTTCAAGTGGTGGAAGCTGTCTCTTGGACTGGACTGCTTTAAGAAATTCAGTAAAATATTCCGGCTTTACAATCGGACGTCCACAAATGAGTGCACATATTGTCTAAAAAGGAAAAAACACATGTAAGTGCATGTATTCACTCCAGCTTTTTTTTTTTTTAAAGATTTTATTGGGGAATTGGGGGAGGGGAACAGCGCTGGGGAATCGGGGGAAGGGGAACAGACAAGTTGCTGTCCTTTTGTTCTTCAGTCTAGTTGTGGAGGACGTCGCTTCACTGGCCCATGTTGGTATTATCATTGCGCTCTTCCTGGTGAGGCAGATCGGTCGCCGGCCTCTGGATGGCCATTCACAGCGGCTCTTGGCAGCTCACGCTGGCTGCCAGCCACACATGGTAGCTTACAGCAGCCCACTGCTGCAGGAGCTGGCGACTCACACAGCAGCCCAGCTCCAGGTTGAGCTGTTGTCCACCATCTTAGCTGTAGAGGGCAGTGTCACTGGCCCCCATGTGGGATCCAAACCAGGGCCCTGCTGCTCAGAGCTGGCATCCCAAGCACATTATATATGGCAAAATATGGTAATTTAAAAACTGCTATTGGGGGGTGGGGGGGTTGAGCAACATAAAATATAAGTCAACTTTAAAATGTATTCCATTTTTAAAAACATTAAAATGTCAAAAAGTATATCTTAGGATTGAGGCAATGTAACATCTGCCCTAGAGAAAACAGTATCACAAGCGAGAAGACCTTTTCAGTCTGTCTTTCCAGCAGTTTGTAACTACGGAATAGCTGTTTCAAGTAAATAAAGGAATAACTGTTTGGGGTTTGGTAAAAGTTCAACACAAGTATATACAGATTGGGGTGGGGGGTGGGCTTCAAGTAGCAAATGAATTAAGCTATAGGTCTCAAATAACACATATTCACAAAATCTGAGAAAGATTTTAAAAATACCACTATTGGCAATGAAAACGAAAATGAAGATTCAGCCACATTCTAGAAAATAATCCAGCAAAAGAATTTAAGTACACTTCTAATAACATAGGGTCTGACCTAAATACATACGAATGTGCAATTTAGGGTGTTTCTGAAGAACGGAATCTGAAAGAGACCAACCTCAAATGTGAATGACTCAACGACTTCTTGCCTGAAGCAAGAGTGTGGAGTTCAACACTGGACTGAGGAAGCTCTGACACACGGAATCCTGGGCAAAGGATTTCAGTCCTGTGCCTCGGATTCCTCATCAGAAAATAAAAATTGACCTGAATGCTCTTTAGGTTCCCTTTTGGCTCTAACATTCAACAATTTTAAAAATACAAGCTAACCTGTGCTTTTGGAAAATTTTCCAAAAAAATAATGACAAGCTTCTCTTTTTTGGCATGTGATCAAAAATACTGAAAAGGAGGAACGCTCTGCAAGCCTTTGCTGGTGTGTAGCCAGTCCTATCTGACGAGGAGAGCCAGGCGGTGGCCAGCAGGTCCCAGTCCCGGAACTAGTGTGTGCGCTGGTGATGGCTGCTAGCTTCCAGGTCTGTCAGGGACTCAGCAAAACATCCCTCAGGACCGTCTTACTGACTTGGCTCCCATTTCATACCCACCAAGCAAGGGCATGATTACCTCTTCCATCTCTCAGGCACCTCGGTATCTCAGAGTCCACCCGTTAAGTATTCTGATCACTATAAGGGTGCAACCCTGCTGAAAACTACTAAGTGGACATTTTGATTTATGAATCTATTAGCTGTGGGTACACTGGCATAAATGAGTACTCTGCTAAATTTAGAAGTCAATTTCATAAACTTGCACAGATGAAAAGATCCTTGTTCAGACATAACCCCACCAACATCCAAATTTGATTTGAGGTTCCATCTGAAAGCAAGCCCTTCTCTACGACACCTCTGTTACTATAATCCACACATTCTGATTTAACTAATTATGCTAGATTTTAAGGGACTTTTCTACCACCTAATAAAGGGATCTAAATATTTGTTGCTTTTCACTGTAAATATTAACCCAAAACAATCCTACATATCTACGATAAACCTGGTTAAAAGGAGACAAATCACCTCCCAGTGTTTTTCTTCAATTAGCTTTGGGTATAATCAAATCTGAGAAGATGCAAAATCTGAAAACACACCAAAGTGTATCACTGTTTTAATGAATAGTCAACATCTTCTAAAAGTACATACTCTACAAATCTACATTAGGGTAATATTAAACTACAAGACCTTAAAAAGTATTTGTGATTAGGACCTTACACCAAAAAAATATTAAACAGAAAAACCTGAGATGAGACAACAGAGACTGGAGGAAGACAGCTTGACAGAGGAGACATGAGATGCTGACTTTGAGAACTGGTAGTCGGTCTCTGGTTGTTTTGCTCTTAGACTGAAAACACAACTATATGCTGTATCAACTTCTTGGTGAACAGATAGCATAAGTCATTTTTCAAAATGCTAAATCAAATATCTGAAATACAATTCAATGTGCTTTTGCATGCCTCACGTAATAAATACATGATCAAAAAGCCATTCTAACCTCAATGGTACACAAAAGCATGGGGTTGGCATATAGAAATCGACAACTCATAGTTCCGACTGATTTAAAGTAAGTGGCTTTAAAAATTACTGTGTATAGTGAGCGAGTAAGCTTAAATTCACAGAACTTATTTTAACATAATAACAAGGCATTCAACCTACTTTAATGGTAACTTTAACTGATACCATGACAAGGTGAGTGCATCCTTCTGTCCAATTGTTTACAGTAAGTCCTCCAAGTTGTAATATTGCTTGATTTAAAGCGGTTTTCCCAGAGACATCTAAGCAAGAAGAGCATGCAACCAAAGGCTCATACTCTACTCTGTAAATGAAAACGAGTTACATCAAGTTGTGGCATCACAGTTACAGAGATGACAATTTACAGAACTTTAAATTTGAAACTCATATCATATGCTGTTGTTCTTAAACTTTCTAACTAATGAAATAATCAGTTCCTAAATCTGGAGTTGCAATTAAGAAAAAACAACAATCAAAGTTAACATTATACTTTCACCTATGTGGCATCAAATGAACGCAGCTCAAAGTCCCATGGCCCACTCAAACTCTTACCCTGGCCCTCCCTACCTGTGACTGGCAAGAGACATGGACCACTTGTGGTCTAAGTTCACCACTGTGCTAAGGAGGAACTCAATTAGGCAACCGCTAGATTTTGATTAGTGCAAAATAAAGGTGTCCATTTTTAATATAAACTAAAAAACATTCTTACCTGAATTTACTTTCAAACACTCCAAAAGTAATTCTATCTCCTGTATTCAAAGTTCGGGTAAGGCCAGTCTGCATTTTTTCCTCATTAACAAAGGTACCATACTTAGAATTATCTTTTATTGTCAATATAGGGATTTCATCTGATTGACTCTGAAAAAAATATCAATAAATGAAAGTGTCTTTCCACTCTCAATATTCAACAATGTTTTCCTAAACCTATTAAAAAGAGAGACACAAAACCTAAATATCACTGAAGAGATCCAACATTTGCTGATAGGCAGTGTTTGCTAAAAATATTTTTTCTTTCTTATTACCACCAGCACATGATGAGCACAGCTATTTGTATTACTTTTATTGCCTAAGGTTGTAACAAAAACAAGCAACCAAAACAAACTCAAGGTCATTCAAAAGAACTGTGGGGCATAAGCAACAGCTGTTTTCCATAATAAAACAAATCAATTCTGACTGTGAAAACCTACTTTATTCAGGAAATCCCTGTGTTCACAGGGCTACACAAACTCTAAAGCAGGAGACAGGACAGTCTATTCACTGCTCTATTCCCAGGCCTGGCAGAGACTGACAAACAATAAGCACTCAAAAATAAACATTTAAGTAAATAAATATAAATATGTCCTAATTTCTCTGAGTTTCTAAATTAAAACAGTAAAATGCTGAAGCAGAAACTTCAAAATTATCAAAGTAAACAATCACCACTGATACTACTGCCAAAATGTGAGCGTTTAATTTGTTTAACATTAAAAAATCTAACAGCGTCATGGAAAGTCCTACACTCTCTCTTATATATGGACCACGGTAATCTTCTGCGATTCCAACCCCACGCTTACGCCAGGGAAATAAAATTCGACACGTACCAGGTTGGTTACCGAGAAGTTAGCAGTTAACACAGCATGATTCCGGCTGATTGACTGATCCTTTTCAATTAGAATGCCACAGTTTTTTCTTCCGACAACGTACTCAGCGCCCGTCAAGAGTCTGTAGGGTTCTAAGAGAATTAAAAAAATTAAAAAAAATTGATGAGGCATACATGTATGGCGTGCAAACACATATGCGCGTGTATACATAAACAGGCACGGCAAATATTTAAATATTTTTACTTTGCTATTTAGAAGTTAACAGTCGGCTCTATGAATCAAACTCGTTTTTCTACGAAAGCCTCACCGAAGGATGCAAAAGAGTAGATGGAAAGGTCTACCCTTTTTCTCAGGAAAAAACAATACTGAAAAGTGTGAGTCTAAGGCCGTTTTAACGTCTAAATTGAATGCGTTACCAAACAAAACCAACATGCAGCTGACCCTTGAACAGCGCGGTTTTGCCCTCGAAGTTATTCGCGGGTTTGGGGGTCGTCACCCCTCATCCCTGCGTTGCTCAAGAGCCAACTGTGCTATCTGTCTGGAATCTAACAAACGAATTCAAAAGTCCATCGGGCAAATGTAATGTAAGACACTGCCAGGAGAAACGTGCAAGTCACGGGGACTGGCCCTCGCCGGGGGTCACACATGCCCTCCAGCCACAGCGAGGAAACACACGCCACGCACAGGAGCTAGCCGCGCAGGCGAACGCAGGCGCAGCTCAGCCCGCAGCCCCGCGCACACGTGCGGCTTCCTGCCTGCCGAGGGGACTGCGCGCCTCGGGGTGACGGTGTCCCTCTTGGCCGGCGAACCGGCCGGCACCGCGCGAGCTACCTGCCAGCCCGGCTACTTGCCCGGCGCCCGCCAGCTGACCGTTCCCACCGCCGGGGCTGCGCAAAGAAAACGCCTGCTTTTCCGGTCATGCTGGTTCAGAACCGGACTTGAAAGGACGCTCGCCGGGATACCGTTCACCGGCATCACCTTAGCTCCTTCATACAGCAAACCCCTGGCGTCACCAGCGTAACATGCTGTCTCTCCTCCAAGTTGGACACGCGACGTGTCACAGCCGACTCCCGCCACTCCCTCGGCGGGCTGCCGCCCCGCAGAGGCCGGGAGTCGGGCCCACTTCGGGGAGCCCGGCCCACCTCGGGGAGCCCGCGGACCCGACTGGCCCGAAGCTCCAGCCCTCACAACCGACGCGCCACACCCCCGCGCCCGATGCTCCGCCCCCACCCGACGCGCCACACCCCCGCGCCCGATGTCCCGCCCCCACCCGACGCGCCACACCCCTGCGCCGATGCTGCGCCCCCACGCCTGAAACGTCACACCCCCGCGCCCGATGCTCCGCCCCCGACGCCCGACGCGCCACAACTCCGCGCTCGACGCACCGCCCGCCCCGGCCGACACTCCGCCCCGCGTACAACGCAACGACCCCGCGCACAACGCAACGACTCCGCGCACGATGCGTTGCCCTCGCGCATGACGCGTTGCCCTCGCGCATGACGCAATAGCCCCGCGTACGACGCCCCTCCCTGCGCAAGACGCCACGCCGTCGCGCACGACGCACTGCCCCCCGCAGTAGCAGGGCGGAAGGGGAAGGCGGCGGCGCCAGAAGGCGGGGAAAGGGGCGGGGCCCAGCGGTTCTCAGACCCTCCACCCATGGCATCTGTTCCTGAAAAAATCTGTCCTCCGACACCTCCCTTGCCGGCTCACCTCGGGCTTCGCCCGCAGTCGGGAGCAGCTTCCACATGGGTCTGGTCTTCAGTGTCGGGGCGACGTGTAGCTGCGCAACCGTAGCTGACAGACGTGAGCTACTGCAGCCACTGTTATCAGATGGGCTCCGTGACGTGCGCGCTCCCGGGACCGCGCCTGCGTAGAAAACGGGTAAGCTGGAGGGTGCCTTGGTGCCTGGTCGCCACCTGGTGGCTGCAAAGCGAATAGTGCAATCTGTATGGAACTGTGCCGTGTTAAAGGCACAGTTCCCATTTTAAGGTGTTACTAACCTGTGGCTCGCGACCGCTTTGGGGGGTCGAACGGCCCTTTCAAAGGGGTCGCCTAAGACCATTGGAAAACAAAAAGATACTTACATTACGATTCATAACAGTATCAAAATTGCAGTGATAGAGTAGCAACGAAAATAAGTTTATGGTTGGGGGTCACCACAACATGAGGAACTGTATTAAGGGGTCGCGGCATTAGGAAGGTTGAGAACCGCTGTTAGCGAATATCAGAATACCTGCTTTTGTTACAGTGCAAAACGTCTGGCTGCTCGCCGTGTGGGGACCCAGGCCCAGAGGAATGAAAGAAACTTCTGCTTCAGCAAAAATTAACAAAGTGTCTTGTCAAGAAATTGGGAAAAGATAAACTAAATGCTTTTAGCTTGCTTGTTAGGGAAAAGATAAACTAAGTATACTTTATAGCTTGCTTGTTAGGGAAGAGATAAACTAAATGCTTTATGGCTTGCTTGCTAGGGAAGAGATAAGTTAGGTATGTTGTTAGAAAAAAATAAATAAGTCCTGATTTATAGTTCGTTAGAAGAAAATAAACTTGCCAAGTTTTATGGCTAGCTAGAAGATAAGTTGACTCTGTTTGTTAAAGTTTTTTTTCCTTTTACTCACTAACCGCTTTTTTTGCTTCTGTATCCAGCCTCAGCTATAAATCCCCCACTAGCCAAGACTTGGGGTCCGCTCTCTCCAATGAGACGGGCCCCCGAGCTTGGGAATAAAGTCTTTGGAATGAAAACTCTTTGTCTCAGTTCTTGTTAATAACCTGCTCCCCAACAGCCGTACGAAAGCCACGACTCGAGAGGCGAGGTTGGTGGAAAGAAGAGTAGGTTTTATGCCAGCATTAAGGGAAGACAGTGAACTCCTTGTCACAAAGCTTGCCTTCCCGCTCTTAAGGTTTTATAGACATGCAAAGAGGGGCAAAACGAAGGAGGAGATGGCCAGGCAACTTAAGGAAAAGGCGCTTCCTAGAAGCTATTCGGCCCCAGGATGAGGAGTGAGCCCTATACTGATGCTAAAACCCCCAAGTTACCGGGCCAGGTGTGCACACTAGTCCAAAATAAACAGACCATTCGAACTGGTGTGCATAGTAAATGCACAGTAAACCGACAGTCATCCAGGTTTGGGGGGAGGAGAGAGAAACAAAGAAAGGAAAGAAAAAACTTTCAAAAAGCCCCAAGCCAAACCACTGTCAAATCGAATTACATCAGCGGTTTAAATTTCACAAATAGAAGATATAGGGTCACCGTTACACTTTTTATCTGATTATGAATGGAAATGTCTTTAAACATTAGCTCCAAAGCAACTTAAGGGAACTTAATACTTAAAGACATTAACACACTAGCCACTTAGGTAATTTCATGTGTTTTCAGTTTCTTAAACTGTAGTCGTTTGTTTATATGGATCCTAATGATTGTGATAATTATGGCGAAAACAAGGATTTCACCCCAAGTCAACTCAAATCAACTCTAAGCGCAAATCAACTTCTAACTTCTCTGTTTCATAATTTTACAGTTTCACCTAAGCAGGAGCTAAATCCTTTCTGTTTCCAGTGGGCACAGACAGGGTCTCCTTCTACTCCAATAGCCCCTAATCCTCTCCACCCACCCTCTGCACTATTCCATTCTGCATCCTCCACCGTGACAAAGTGAACACCCTACAGCACACTTCTGATCAAATAAGCTCTGGTTTTCAAAAGCATTCTGTAACGAGAAGGAACATGTCACTTTAAAAGGCTGGTTTACCAGTCTCTGTTATGAACTGACACGCAGAATTCCTAAACAAAAAAAATTAGGAAATTGAATGAGTGGTATATAAAAAAAGATAATGACTAAGTGCAGTTTGCTCCAGAAATGGAAAGGTGGGTGTTAACTGGGAAAAAAAATATATCAGTGTAATTCACCGAAATAACCAAAAAAAAAAGGGGGGGGGGGAGATCATATGGTCATATTGGTAATTGCAGAAAAAGCATTTGATAAAAGTCAACATCCATTCGTGATTAAAAACTCTCACCAAAGTAATAATACAGGGAACATCTTTGATAAAGGGCATCTATGAAAAAACTGCTTACATTATACTTAAGGTGAATTATTGTACATTTTCCCTCACATTAGGAATGAAACAAGGACATATTTGCTTTTGCCACTTATTTTCAACATGGTTTGGATGTTCTAACTCAGCGGTTCTCAACCTGAGGGTCGCAACCCCTTTGGGGGTCGAACGACCCTTTCACAGGGGTCGCCTAAGACCATTGGAAACAAAAAGATATTTACATTATGATTCATAACAGTAGCAAAATTACAGTTATAGAGTAGCAGCGAACATAATTTTATGGTTGGGGGTCACCACAACATAAGGAACTGTATTAAGGGGTAGCGGCATTAGGAAGGTTGAGAACCGCTGCTGAGTCTAACCAATGCATACAGATTAAAAAGAAAGAATCACACTCATTATTCATGAATGACATGATTGTGTACATTGAAAATCTAAAAGAATGTATTGGCAAACTGAATAAACGAATTTAATAGGGTCACAATACAAAATTTATATACAAAATTTAATTGTATACCTTTATTCCAGAAAATAGAACATATAAACATGACATATAAAATAGACAATTATAGAGCACCAAGTCATCAAATATTGACTAGTAAATCTATCAAAAGATGCGATACAAAACATTAACTATAAAACATTGACAGAAATTAAGTCCTAAATAAATACAGGAATAATATACCACATTTATGGATTATTAAGATGTCATTTCTCCCGAAGCTATCTATGGATTCAATGCGATTTCAACAATGTCTCAGAAGATTTCTTGAGTGGAAATTAATAAGCAGATTCTGAAATATCTATGGAAATGCATAGACTGAAAATAGCCAAGGCAATTTTGAAGACCAAAGCTGGAGTACTTAATATCAAAATGTATTATAATGTTATGGTTATTGTGTTCTATTGGCACAAGGATAGAAAATAGGCAAATGTGTCAAAATAGAAAGACTAATAAATATCCACACGTATAAGATAATTTGATTTTTCCAACGTAATACTACAGGGCAATGATAAAAAGGTTTTTGTTTTCTTTTTTCCCAATAAATGATCCTGGGGATATTGGTTAATACTACAGAAGAAATGAAGACTGACCCTGTATCTCACATACAAAAAACAAAATTCCAGACGAATCACAGATGTAAATGTGAAAGTAAAACAAATAAAAGAATATATGATCAAGAAATAAACAAATCTTTCTTAAACAGAACAAAAAAAGTGTGCCGTGAACCCCAGAATCCCTAAATTTCACCGATTTGGTGGACCCCAACAATTTGTACGGGTTGTCTTCTTACTCTTCCGGAGTACATACACGTCTCACAGCGGCCTCCAATATACATGCGGATTCTAGTGAATCCAGTCTGATTGACAGAAGGCTGAGAGGTTCTGGCCGCGCCCCCGAGCTACAATGTGCCCCTGAGCATGGCATCGTCACTGCAAGGCACAGCACCAGACGAGGACACCGCCGGGCCTCCCGCACAACAGCCGGTGCCGCAACGGAGACCGAGCAGGACCTTCGGGAAGCCCAGCCCAGCAGAGCCCGGCTCAGGCGGAGTGAGGAGCGCGTGGTGTCTGGCCAACAGGTACCTGCCCCCAGCCCCGGCGGTCTCCCAGCCACGCCCTCAACTCCGCCCCCATCCAAAGCCACGCCTCCTACTCCGCCCCGGGTCTCAGCCGTGCCCCTCGCGTTTCCCGGCTGCATCCTTCGGCCGCCATGGCGCTGTTCAGTCCGGTGTCCTTTGCTGCGGGCCGCTACCCTCGGCGGGTAAGGCAGCTTTGCAGGAGCTGGAGCTCTGGTCCCCGCACGCGCCCTGCGAGTGGACGGAGGGCGTGTGTGTGTGTGTGTGTGTGTGTGTGTGTGTGTGTGTGTGTGTGTGGTGGGGGCGGCGAGGGCACGCCGCGGTCCTCAGGGTTGTCACGCTCCCAGAAGTGCAAACTGGGAGAAAGGGGACGGTGCGCGCGCAGCCCTGTGAGCGTCGGGACAGGGCTGGGGGCGCGCCGGCCTTTTCTGCGGCCCTTTTTTAGGAGGGAAACCCGTTCGTGTGCCAGCTGTGCAGTTAAACGTTAATACAAACAAATTTACATAAAAGAAAAGCAACACTCTGCTGTCCGGATCCCCGGCCCTGGAGGTCGTGCAGGCGGAGACGCGCCTCGGGCGGCCCCCATTTGTCTCCCCCATCCCCCTGTTCTCTCGTCAGCATCTCCGTGCTGGACCAAATCAAGACCAAGTTTGTAAGTGTACGCAGCTGTAGAGGGGACGAAAGAAAGAAAAGTGACAAGCAATAATATACAATATAGCCCCTCCCCCCAATTAAATTTTAAAATCGAATACACTCAAACCCAAAAGCAGAGTTTCCTTAACCAGGCACAAAACATAATCTGCCCACTGTGAAAAAACTTTTTACAATTTTATAGAATGGACTCCCCCGCTGCCCATTTTTGAAAAGTATGGACAAATTCCAAAGGTGAACTCAAGGAAATGGTATGGTGAGTCCTCAAGTAAGAAAACTCTTTGAAAAACTCAGATTTGTTCAAGGCTGTGGGTTGTTTTAGGTTACAGGCCCTTGTAAGAGAAGCCTATTTTCTGATCCCTTCTCAAAGGCCTTTCTCATTTCAATCTGACAGCTCTGGGGGGTGGAAAAGCCCTCAGAGATTTTGTAACACAGATCATTAGGATCAGAATAATAAAGCCACACAGACTGCATCCCAGCTCTTCAGACACAGTTTCAGAGGGAGAAACTCAACTTGTTTAGACAGTAACTGGAATCGGACCATTTTGAGATTTCTTTGCTTAAGAAAACTAAGGACGGGTTTGGAGGCGGAGGCCCCGTGGTGGTGGGTGGGCTTCCTGGCACTGGCTGGCCGGCCTTGAACCCATGGGAGAGAGGTCTTCACAGGGAACCTTATGTTTCTGTGCACATATACAAGTGCTTACAGTTAAAACCCCTAATGTGAATACTTGTTACCAAGAGCCAAGGTCAGTGATTCCTTTGTCAATTAATTTAAAGTAACAAATGTGTGCTTAGCTAGTACACTTCAGTTCAATACAAACATTTATTCAGAACTGGCTCTGTGCCTGGCCCTGGGGATGCAAAGATTTAAAAAATACGAACCTTGCTCTCAAGTTGCTATAAGTCCTACTGAGGAAAACGTTCACTCCTTCAGTTGTTTATCAGGAGATGCTAATTAAGTGCCTTCTAAGAGTTGGGCGCTCTTTGGCAGCCCTTGGTTGAAAAGGTATTTCTGCCATCATTAAGCTAATAGCCTCGTGTATTGTTTCAAGCTTGGGATGATAACTCATGAGTGGACCTTAAAAGCAGTTTAGTGGAGCAAAATGAGTTTAAGAAAAGTAAATTGGAATGGAATAGGAAATACCAGGATTTGTCTCATGTAGTAAGGTTAACTACTTTATGAAAATTTTTTTAAAGTTACCATTCTTCCTTTTGTAAATTCATTCTTTGATATCTGGGATGCACACTCCAAGCTTCTTTTCCTTTTGTTTTTATCAATAATAATCACTACTATTTTTATAAACATGATACCCAGTCACTATGAATACAGGTAATAACAGTTAAAAAACAAAGTAACACATGACCATGCAGTGGCCCCCCCAAAAAATAAATTATCTTTGCATCTGGCGATTGCCATCCCAGGCCTCTGTGCTGGTAAGAGGGTGGGTGGATGGGCATAATTTTGCTGGGATGTATCCCATTTATTTTTCCCTTAGAACGTAATCAGTGTTGGGTCATTGTGTTTTGACACTGAATACGCTCAGAATGGTAAGGCCAACTGGATCCCAACCCCCCCACCCACCCAATCTGGAAAGCCTAAGAAATTTACTCAGTTTCAAATTCCATATTATAAACTTCCTGGAGCCAAAGATTTTCATCTGGTTTGTACGCAACTGCTTTTTCATATAAGCAAAATCCAAAATCAAACCCTTTTCAAGAGCAGGAGTTCTGTTTATTGGCTCAAAAAATAGTCATGTTAGTTTTGGCTAACGTGATAGGGATCAGTAAGCAAGGATGTGAGTGAGAGGCAAGCAGGAGTGAAGACCCCAGGTGAAAATTTCAATTGCCTGCTGTTTTATCTCTTTGCTTTCATCTCCCTGTATTGTGTAGTTTTGGCGAAGCATCTGTTTGGTCCGCATCTAACTGCAGACAGATAACTGTAATAAAAACAGGAATATACCCAGTAGCACAGAGCAACTACTTTATAAGGCCTCATGTTCATTGCTATAAGATGTGTCATTCCTCAAAGTGTAATTTCTGTCTTGCCATTGGCAACAGTTGAATGATTTAGCCTGGCCACTGGAGCCTGGAGTCCAGCTAACTTTCTTTTATATTTGCTCAGCGTACCTTCAAGTTGCTGTGGCAACGAGCTCTGTGTCCTGCAGAAGCTTAGAATGTCGTGGCCTCTGAAGTTCCCCATTTGAGTTGAGGGGGTGGAGGTGCTCAGGCACACAGCAGGAGCTGCGCGTGGCCTATGGCAAGCCATGGGCTGGAGAGTTTGGGTTCTTCAGTTTTATCAAGTTTACAAACTGTTGGCATTAGTGGGTGGGACAGTTCCTCCTTCTGCAGGACTATCCTTTTCTGCAGCAGGGCATCATCAGTAGTGACACGTCCTGCCGCCCCTTGTGTTGCCAGAAGCCTCCAGCTGTGAACCGCATCCACTGCTGCACTGGCAGTGGCCTGGGCATTGACAGAAATGCATGCGTGGCACAGATTCTGCCTTCTAGCAACTGGACATGATCAGTTGGGAAGTCGTTATTGGAGGCTTAACGTGTGCATGGGCTACTGAGTTGCTTTTGGAATGCAAACGTGCATTTTTCAAAGTCCTGTGAAAAATAAGATTGGTCTTTACCGAGCTGACATTTTTATATAACAGTTAAGGCCTCTTATGTGAATTTGAGTAGGGGTGAACTTGATCTAAAAAAATAATTCATTTAGACTTAAACCAACAGGTAGTTAGAAACTCCAAAAAAATAGATACGGTAACATTTCATTGTCTTCATTAACGAAGCTCAGACCTAAGTGTGGAATAGAGAGCACTCGCATTTCAAATAGGGTCTATGTCCTTATCATAACACTGATTCTGTGCTAGCTTCTTCCTTGCTCTAACTTTGTTTTCCTCTGTACCCTTCCTATAGTGTGTGCTCACGTGTGATTTGATTTTGTGTTAACTATTTTTCATGAATATTAATTGACAAATATAGCAAACATACAGCAGTACAAAAGGATATGCAGTGACAATACAGGAAGTCCCTCTCCCAAGAGGTTACTGCTATGAATTGTTTCTTGTGGATCCTTCCAACAATTTCTGTGCAAATATCAATATATGTTTGAAGATTGAATAAACAATAAAGATGTATCAATGTGTACATAAAGCCGGTACGTTTCTAGCTTCTCTTATTAGATACACAGTGTTTTGTCCTTACGTGGATATGCCCTGACTGGTTTCTCCCTTCCTGGTATCACAGTTCCCCATGGAAGCCTGCCACCCTGGTGGAGGTAGGTGGTCCTTGGGTCCATGTTTAACAGAGGCACCTGTTTAAAAGTGTCGACAGAGTTTCTGACACTTTTGCTTGGGATTTTTTTTTGTTTTTTTAAGTTTCCTCACACTTTACTTTTTATTATAACACATACAAATAACTTTGTTAGCAGACATGTATGGGAACATTAATTTTGCATATTTTATAATTTTAATTATGTAAGAAATAGCAAAACAAAAAAAATCAATATAAATAAATATCAAAACAAAGAAAATTTATCTAACCAAACCACAAATGCTGTCGAAGTAAAATGTTAATCCTAAATACACTGTAATCAAAGAATAACCATTTGCAAATATAGAATCTTACGTAAGCCAAAGATTTGCTCTTTTGTATTTAGGGGTTACGCATATAATAGTGCATATATTTTATATATGCACGTATATACTTGTATAATTGCATAAATTTTTTTTTATATATAAAATTAACTGACTTTTGTTTGGTTTTGAAGGCTGATTCTGCTGGGTCGAGAAAGAAAGTGGGTGGTTCAGGCTGAAGAGAAAGCAGAGCAGAGGCCAGAAGTGAAAGTGGTTGGCAAGTTTCAGGAGTGCTGGGCGTGGAGCACAGGCTATACCCCTACATGGGGACCTGTTTGTTGGAGGGGAACTGAGGCCACCTTGTCCACAGCTGGAATGCTACGCTGACGAGCATAAGTTCTGTAGTTTTGAATCTGGAAGACATGAGTGTTTTTGAGGGATGGGATTGTAATGTGGATGCCCAGTCAACAGTAGTGATGACAATGATGTTGAAATAGCCAAGCTAAGAGTTATTTAAATATTGACTTATTTAGATCCACAGCGTCCATGTGAGGGCCTGTTGTTATGTGATTTTTACAGATTTGAAACTAGATTTTCTTAATAATATACCTAGCACAGTCAACAGTTATTTTTATAGAAATTTGTTTTACATGAAACTTCAGAATATTATTCTTGATGGTGCAAAAATATACTGTGGGTTGTTTTTGTTTTTTCCATTTTTGTATTGGTTTCTTGGGCTGTATTTAGACAGGAGTCACACACGTGCCTCAGGTCCCTGTAGGAGGCCACCCAGTGACCAGCACACTGCAGGTGTGCACACGGCTGGGCAGAGCTCACCCTCATCTGAAGGGCTGTAAACTCAGCCGGGCAGAAGGTGGACCCGAGGGTTGGTAGAGCTCATTTTTATCTGAATTTCTCAGCATTGAAATGTTGGCTTGAATTTGTAAAAAGAGTGGGCAGGCCTCAAACAGATGTTTAGTGTAGGATCTATTTGGCGTGCCTCTGTTTTACCTGCTTGTTCTAGACATTTGAGACCAGCCAAGTACTAAGTGATTTAGGAGTAAATAAATCTGTTTCAGCTCAGTCCTCACCCTCTCGGGAAGATAGTCAAGACTCTCCGAGTTGCCATTTTGAGGGTTAGATTTAGTTTAGATGCTATGATGCAGGCACACACGCTAAGTATGGAGGGGAGGTGGATGATAGCCTTTTTTTTTTCTGGGAAATTTTAGAACTTCTAAATCTTAAAAACTAATCTGTATTGCCAAAATTGGAAGACTCATTTTAAGAATTTTAGAAAGTTTAATAAAGACCTCCAGAGAAATCAATCTTGACATGAAAGGTGTTCCTTCAGTTTCAGAAACAACTTATAGCAAGAAAAAAACCACAAAGAAAGATTTGAAAATCTTTAGAAACCTATTTTCTATCTGCTTTTTATGACTCAAATGAAAATGGCCAAAATCCCATTTCAGCTCATTCAGAATCATTCTTTGTAGAAACAGGAGATTGAATGCAGTAAGATCTTGTGAGGTGTGTTCATCTCTGTGGGTCTTAATGTTGAAATGAACAACTTGCTTTTAGGCAGACAGTGGCTTGAACTGAATGCTCTGCAGCATATATGCTGTGAATTATCAGCAGGTAATGTGAATTCAAACAGCATAGCAATTTCCTCACTTTTCTCTGGTGGGAAAAAGGAGACATAAAATCAGTATTATTCACATCAAATCAGATACAGTGGGTGAGACTGTGCTGTGTCATAATCTGTGACATGATAGACACTTATTAGGAAGTTTTATTAAATGCCATTATTTTTACCTTTATAGCCATTCATCTCCCAGTTATGAGATTGAGAAATGTTTTAAAATAAATTTAAAAGAAAGCTTGTATGCAAATACCTCGCTTAACTTATCTTTCACAAAGCACCACATCAAAATCCCTATACAAATTGACACTAAATAAATAAAAAGTAAACCTAGAGCCTTTGGAAAGTTAGAACTTGTTTTTCCATTATTACTTGGTATTACAAACTCACCAGCCTAGTCGTGCAAGTCTCCCAATTCGTCATCCCTCACGTAGTTCTGGAGGCAGTGGCAGCCTCACACGTAAAACTGCCATTTAGGTGGAGAAATATTCCTGCCGGCTGCTTGGCTTTCACGCTTTGGCAAAAGGATACAAAAAGAAAATGCCTTGTCCACAGGAAGCTAAAGGAAGTAATATGACGCGGTGGAGCATAACTGGATTGGCAGATTCATCTTCTCCAGTTATTTTATATATGTTCTCAAACTTTGTCTTTCAGTAACATTTTTTTCCTGATTGTGAAATCAAATTACACTTATTGAATAGATTTTGAAAATACTAAAGACCAACCAAACAAACAAAAACCAAATAATCATCCTAATCCCACCACGTAGGGAAGTAACTGAGGCAGTAGAGGACTTGGAAGTCAGACCCCTTGGATCCGAGCCAAGTCTTGGCTACTTATTATTAATTGTCATTAAAAATTGGTAACCTGACCTTTCTGTGCTTCGGTTTCCCCATCTATAAAATAGGGGTAACACCAGAATTTAGAGGGTTGTTGTGAGGTCCTGAATTGAAAGTTGAGTTGACCTTGGCACATGGTAGTGAATCTACTACTTCCTGGTGTTCTAGTGTTTTTTCTAAGAATATATTTTTATTTACAGTTAAGAATATAATGTCGTATCATAAATGCTTTCTTGTGCGAGTTCCACTTGATGAACTGCCTTACGCTAGATCATTGATCACATTTCTAACTATTTCCTTAGGGTAAATTTCTAGATATCCCGATCAACTGATGGAGGCCCACTTGGTTTGCAGGAATACTGTAGCAGGAAAGGATTGATTCTGGGGTCTGAATCTTGTGACCGTGACCTGATGAGGAGTATCTCACACCTTTGGTGTGATCATTAAGCTCAGTAGGAGTTCAGTGCGCAGAGACAAGCCATGTACAAGGGAACCTCATGTTTGAATCTTGGCTCTGCAATGGTCAATATATTTTAACATCTCTAGGCCCCAAAACTGAATTTGTGTTCCTCCAAGAATTTGAATACTATTAAATTAAAGAGTATGTTTTTTGAAATTCATCTCTTGTGGAAATACATGTATGCAAATTTCAGGGGTTTTTTTCCACTTTTAGTTTTTCAGTTATGGAACAAAAATATTGTATCAAGACTATGACGCTTTTCAGTCTAAATTCTTTCCACCCCTGAAAAAAGCGATGCTCCCACCGAACAGCTTTCAAGGCAAAGTGGCGTTCATTACCGGAGGAGGCACTGGCCTGGGGAAAGGAATGACCACTCTCCTGTCTAGCCTGGGTGCACAGTGTGTGATCGCCAGCCGGTAAGTTACTCTGTGCAGGTCCCCTGCAAGAGTCTCTTACGAAACAACTCTGCCTCGAGATTGAAAGCTGTGTGCCAGACTTGTTTTATGCGCCTCGTAATCTTCTGTGAAATACCCTTTAGATTATAGACATAAACCTCCTTGGGAAAATCAGTTATAACTTGTGGTGAGAGAAATAATGACTGCCTCATAGGGTACATTTCCCAACGCAGCGAGAGAATTTTTTTTTCTGCACCTGGAGATGATGTTAAAAAGTACTACATTGAGGTTGCTTGGTTCTCAGTGGGGTGGTTGTAGTTACTGCTTCAGTGCATAGTTAGCCTTGTATGAGGCAAGGGATGTAATCCTTCCACTTTCTATTAAAATGGGCAGATACTGCAGAACATCTTTTGTTGTGATGAAGGGTAAGACCACATGGAAGGACTTCTTATGGGGCATACCCTGTCCCTATGGTCTAGAGCAGTGGTTCTCAACCTTCCTAATGCCGCGACCCCTTAATACAGTTCCTCATGTTGTGACCCCCAACCATAAAATTATTTTCATTGCTATTCTATAACTGTAATTTTGCTACTGTTATGAATCGTAATGTAAATATCTTTTTGTTTTCCGATGGTCTTAGGCGACCCCTGTGAAAGGGTCATTCGACCCCCAAAGGGGTCGCGATCCATAGGTTGAGAACCGCTGGTCTAGAGCTTCAGAGACTGGTCGAAAGCCCTACCCCTTTCTTCTGTTTTGAGTAGTGTAAAAATTGTAAGTAGGTAGGTAGTGATCTGAAGGGGAGGCCACTGTAATTTACAAGGGACCAAGGATTTTTTCTTCATATGTTCCCTTTAACGCAAGATTGGCCAGAATATTTTTCTTTTTTTATGTTGTAATGTTTTTAAGAGTGTTAAAATATTATTCTTATGTAACACTACATAATTTATACCCGTGGTTTATTTTTTATGTTTCTTTCAAGAGTATGAGGTTCTGAATACCCATAATGCATTTCTTTCCCTTAATTTGGTCTAAAATCTAATCTCATAGGTTTTATATAGTGTAATATAAGGTTATATTATACCATTAATGTGTTTTCTTTCTAAAGCAGGCTTGAAATAATTGTAATTAAGGGAAAAAATTTTAATCTCTGAGTAGATATAAAACAACTGGTTTAAATGTAACTAATTCAGTACATTAGTATCAGATACATAGAAATCGTTTGAATCTAACTTACAAAATTCATTCATTCGAACTGATTTGTTTGTAGATATAACTTGTATTTTCTCAAAAATACATCTCTTTATAGATTCTGTTTTTTAACTTATAGAATTAAAAAGAAAAAATATATGACATCATTTCAGAACTCAAGCAAACTACTGTGTGTTTATTTCTAGAAAGATTGATGTTTTGAAAGCTACTGCAGAAGAGATTTCTTCTCAAACTGGAAATAAGGTACATTAAAAATTGTGATTTAATTCACATTTAGCAGTCATAACATGCTTACGTAATCCGCTCCTGCCTTTGGTTTAGGAAGTTTCAAAAACCTAGGCTCACTTTTTATCTTATTCTGCAGGTTCATGCCATTCAGTGTGATGTGAGGGACCCGGAGAGGGTACAAAGCACGGTGTCGGAGCTGATCAGCATGGTGGGCCTTCCCAACGTGAGTGCCCTGGTGCCAGGCATGGTGCTGGTAACCCACCCACATGCACTGCGGAGCCGCAGGGAGAAGCACCTCCTCCCTGTCCCTCACACACACCCAGGTCTGCCGCAGGGAACAGATTAGAACAGTTGGCCGCGCCATTGTTCATAATACTTAAAAAAAATGCATTACACTCACGCAGAACAAACTAGATTTCACTTGAGTTGATAAGACTGTGAACTAAGAAGAACAGTTATCTAAGAACGCAGGATATGGTTTACACAAGTTATGCTCTCTGCGTCTCCTAATAATCCCGGTATCTGTCCATGGAGAAAAGTACAAGCAAAAAATACAAGGAACCCGCGAAAAAGTCCAGACTTATCCTTATTTAAGACCTGCGATATGTGTGGGGTTTCTGCTTTGTTAGGCTCACATAGTAGAAAGAAGCCATTTACTCCATTAGTCACAAAGAGAGCGCTCTTGTGTGTGAAAGGTATTTTCAGACAGCCATAATATCGAACCTTCTGTAGAACTAAGCAGGATCTTTATTGGTAGTGAAGCGACAGGTCATCAGTCAAGAGTTTCATTGGGTAAGTGAAGTCAAAGTGACACAGACTGAAGGCATTTTAATTGAGATTGCTTGAAGTAACATGTAGTCACATGGTAGGTATGCTTCCTCTGTATTTATGTTCTCAGTAATAAGCTCTACCACGATTTTGAGAAAAGAATTAGGATTCTGAAATCTGGGCAATAACGTAGATTTTCACAGGCTCAAAAACAGTAAATCTGCACCAAATCTTACGGTGTCCTGTCATAGCAGACTGAACTTTAGCATCATTGTGTTGGCTGGACTTCTGAGTTTCAGAAATAAACGCCCCCGAGGGAGGATGTTGCTCCTCATCTGTAGTTCCTCTAACACCCCCCCCCCACCCCCGTTTGCTTTCATTAGATCGTGATAAACAATGCTGCAGGCAATTTTATTTCTCCCACCGAGAGACTCTCTCCCAATGCGTGGAAGACCATAACCGATATAGTGCTGAATGGCACGGCTTACGTGACACTGGAAATCGGAAAGCAACTAATTAAAGCACAGAAAGGTGGGTTGGTTTTTCCATCCCCTGTTGGGTCCCTGCTGTGTTCTGGTTCTGTGCGCAGCCCTGGGATCCCGACAGGAGCTGGTGACAGTGTCCACACTTGGTTCCCGTCATGGTCTCTGACGGGAACGCTTCAGGAATTACCGTGCGCTGTGACGTGAGCCATGATCAGCATGTTTCGGGAGCATTGGGAATCCAGCAGAGGGGTGACTGCCCCTTCCTGGGGTGATTGCTGGAGAAGGGTGTGGAGGAGAGGGCGGACATGTGCACATCTGGACTCGGGAGGGAGACGGGAGATGAGAGGAGCTGGGCTGAGTGTGACGGCAGTGTTCCCAGTGCCACCGTGGGAAACAGTGTGGGCTCTGAGGGAAATGCAGTTGTGTCCTTGTGGGTTTCCCGAAGATGTCTCGTGAAGAGTGACTAACTGAAATGGTTAGTGACTCCAGTGTGGGGTAGGAAAGATTAGCGGGCCGTTCAGGATTTGTTGTTTCACTTCTGGCGACCAGCTGGATGGAAGGAAGGACAAAGCAGGACCCTGAGAAGGTAAGATCAGCGAGCCTTCCTGTCAGGTGAGAGCATCGTCTGGATGAGAATGCTGGAAGGGTAGTAGGTTCCGAGGAGGTGACCAGGATGACAGTTTTGCTCCGGACTGTGAACAAACCTCCGGAGGAAAGGGCACGCACTGTAGATAGTGGCTACGTGGGAACGTGTGCATCCCGATGGCTTGCGTTTGTTCATGACACACACTGATGCTCAAGCCCCGGCCTGTGCTCACGGCCTACCAACAGGTGGACAGGACTGTGCCTGAAGAAGGGGTGTTCTCTCAGAGGCCTGGGCCCTTCTGTGTCTTGAAGGATGCCCTTTGGGGATTGGGGAGGCAGGAGTAGGGGGCTGGCCAACCTCCTCTCTCCGCTTCAAAGCCTTTGCCTCACAAGAAGCATTGAGCTTGTTCAGTGCAGCCAGAGAGGGGGTGGGGACCTGCACCCTTCCTCACATCCAGGCACCTCCCTCCCACCACAGCAGAGGGGATGCCATTTCCATTGGAATGGGTGTGACTCTTTTGTTTTTTATTTTGTTTCTTCAGAAGGGAGGGTGACAGAAAAGGGGGACAAGCGTGGGCTGACTCCCCCCCCCCACCCGAGGACCTTGGTCTCTGCACCTCTTCTCCCTCTGCCTCTGTCTCCACGTCTCTCACCCATTTCTCTCTGTCTCTCTGTCAGCTCTTCACTCGGCTCTCGGTTTCTCCCTTTGCCTCCGTGTCTCTAATCACGTCGTGTTTCCTGCCCCACTGTCTCTCTTGCTTCTTCCCTGCCCATCCCTGGGATCCTGCTTTCTGTCTGACCCTCCCTTCTCTCATTATTGTCTTTCATTTTAACATAGACTTTGATCTATTTTATTCATCACACTGGATTAAAATTCTATGGGTTTCATTAAAAATATATTAGCTAAGACCTGTTAAGAGCTGGAAGCCAGTTTGCGCTCTCCGGGAGGCCTGTCAGTTATTGATGCGGTACGCTGGCAGGGTGAAGGACCCAGGCCCTGGCCTGGGGTCTGTTCTGCGGTTGGGGCAACAACTGAGGAATCAGCTGTAATGACCTCTGAGGGTCTGTCCAGGCAGCAGCCTGGTCACCTGGAGGAGGTGCACTCACTGTGCTCTTACATCCATCCACAAAGGTCAGCACGTGCACGGCTGCTCCTTTTCAGGAAGGATACTGAAAATACCACGTTGAGATCCACTCATCAATAGATGTCATATATAAATGTAAAAATTAGTAAATAGTGTGGGAAAGAATACCTAATTTTATTAAAGAGAACTTGCAATGATGAAAGACTAAAAGACTAATATGGGGTTTTAGTTAAGAGTCTGGTCACAAAGGACCTGGACAGGATAAGTACTGAGTTTTTTCATCAATCCCTAGGTCACTAAAAACAAGCGATACACCTTACAAGGTAATGACCACAATACGTCTAGTGTCCGCCTGCCATCATACATACGCGTCGTTAGTAAAATATTATTGACTACATTCCCCGTGCTGTAGTTTGCATCCCTCTGACTATTTTCATAACTGGGAATTTGTACTGCTTAATCCTTTCACCTTTCTCACCCATACCCCCCACCTTCCCTCCTCTCTGGCAACCATCAAAATGTTCTCCATATCTATGAGTCTATTTCTGTGTTGTTTGCTTGTTTATTCTGTTCTTTAGATGCCACCTATAAGTGAGATCATATGGTATTTGTCTTTCTCTGTCTGACGTATTTCACTTAACATAATGTTCTCTAGGTCCATCCATGTTGTCACAAATGGTAAGATTTCATTCTTTTTTATGACTGAGTAATATTCCACTGTATAAGTGTATCACATCTTCTGTATCCAGTCATCTACTAATAGACATTTAGGTTCCTTCCATATCTTGGCTTTTGTAAATAATGCTGCAGTGAACATAGGGGTGCATGTATCTTTTCAAATAAGTGTTTTCATTTACTTCGGGTAAACACCCCAAAGTGGAATTGCTGGGTCATAAGGTATTTCTATTCTTAACTATTTGAGGCACCTCCATACTGATTTCCATAATGGCTGCACCAATTTGCAATCCCACCAACAGTGCACGAGGGTTCCCTTTTCTCCACAACCTCACCAGCATTTGTTTGTTGATTTATTGATGATGGCCATTCTGACAAGTGTGTGGTGATATCTCATTGTGGTTTTTATTTGCATTTCCCTGATGATTAATGACGTTGAGCATCTTTTCAAATGTCTGTTGGCCCTATGTATGTCTTCTTTGGAGAAATGTCTATTTAGGTCCTCTTCCCATTTTTTAATTGGATTGTTTGGTTTCTTGGTGTTGAGTTGTATGAGTTTCTTACATATTTTAGATGTTAACCCCTTATCAGATGTATCGTTGTCAATGTCTTCTCCCGTTCAGTAGGCTGTCTTTTTGTTTTACTGGTTGTTTCCTTTGAACACACCCAAAAAGATATGCTAAGAGCGCCGTCAGGCTTAGCCATGTCATTAATCGCCATGTCTGTCCTTTCATAATTCCAGGGGCGGCATTCCTGGCTATCACCACCATCTACGCCGAGACTGGGTCAGGCTTTGTGGTGCCCAGCGCTTCTGCCAAAGCAGGAGTGGAAGCCCTGAACAAGTGAGTGCTTCGTGTCTCTGTCGCCGATGGCACACAATGTGCTTTGGTCACTCGTGGGACGACACCTGTCTCCAGGCTCTGTCTGGAGAAAAGTAAAACAGATTAATTTGAATTCTGTGGGAGACAGGTCCCTGCCTCCTGGCTGAGTCCTGTGTGTTGACAGCAGCTCTGCCCAGTGGGGCTTGCCACAGGAGTAAAAATGTTCTGTACATCTGCACCATCTGGTAGCCACATGTGGCCATCAAGCCCTTGGCCTCTGGCTCCTGGGACTGAGAAACTAAATTTTATTTCATTCTAATTACCATAACATTAAGATTACATAGCACATATGGCTAGTGGCAGCGGGTGACAGCCTTAGTTCTCCCACACGTTTTCACCAGGGCCACCCTGCCCTCTCTCAGACACACGCCCACCCTTCCGTGTAGGCCTACTTCTGGTGTAGGCCTGGTGGGACTGACAGTGACCACTGGCCAGGCCTGGCAGCCATTGCTCAGCCGCATACGAGCACCTTTTGAATCTATTCACCGCTGGCCTCTCCCGCTGTCTGTGGGAAGCAGGCTCTTACCAGTGCTTGTCTGGCTCCCTGTAACTCTACGACATGTTTCTCTGCGACCAGGCTCTTCCATTTCTTTTTCATTTACGTTCCCACCAGAGTCATCTTTCTAAACGTGCCTGGCTCAATGCACCCCCACTCAAATCTTACGTGATTTTCCATGGCTTTTTAGAAAGAAAGCCGCAGCTCCATGTGGCTTTCTGAACAGACTTGTCCCCACCCTGTTTTTTCGTTGGCTTATTGGGTCAGTATGGGTTGTATGCCTTGTGTGCGCCCGGCACGGAGCTGGGCACCAGGATGCGATGCCCGTGGAGGGCAAGCAGGCCTCAGCCTCAGTGAGCCTGTGTGCTCCCACCTCAGCCCTGCGCTCCGGGCTCCTTCCAGCGGCTCCTCCTCCTCATCCCCATGTTCTGCCTGCTTCTGCTGTTGCTGGAACTTTCTGTGAGTCTGTGCCTTCCTTCAAGGCTCCCATCATGTCACCCCCTCTGGAATGTTTTCTCGTTTCTCTGGAGCAGAATGATTGTTCTCAGTGTGAGCACACTTAAAGCTTTACTCCAGTCTCATGAGAAGACGAAAACTGCAATAAATAGATGCCGTCTGGTGTTGTGGATTCTGAAATGAAGGCGCAGAAAAGGCGCCTGGGCCCCCTGCAGCCTGCCGGGAGCACGCCGGCTGTGACACAAGGGATGTGACAGCACACTTGTTGCCCGGCAGCAGCCCGTCCACCCCGGGGCTCAGTGCTGACAGACCCATGTGGTCGCTCCTTGTCCTGTGGTCTCAAAGTGCTTTCTAACGTTCCAGTCAGTCAGACACATGTGTTGGAGATAAAAAGAAGCATTACTGTACTCAGCAGTTAACCTTACTCTGAACAGAGATAATGACCTTTCTTCTTTTTTTTTTTTTTAAAGATTATTTATTTTTTAATTGGGGAATTGGGGGATGGGAACAGCGCTGGGAAATGGGGGAAGGGGAACAGACAAGTTGCTGTCCTTTTCTTCTTCAGTCTAGTTGTGGAGGATGTTGCTTCACTGGCCCAAGTTGGCACCATCATTGCACTCTTCCCGGGCGAGGCAGATCAGTCACCGGCTTCTGGACGGCCGCTCACAGCGGCTGCTGGCCGCTCACCGCTGGCTGCTGGCTACACACGGTAGCCCATGGCAACCCACTGCCACAGGGGCTGCAGCCTACGCCGTAGCTGGCAACTCACAGCAGCCCAGCTCCAGGTTGGGCTGTTATTCAGCATCTTAGCTGTAGAGGGCAGTGTCACTGGCCCTCATATGTGGGATCCGAACCGGGGCCCTCTGGCGTCCCACGCCAGTTCTTAACCATCGCGCCACTCGGCCGGCCCGATAATGACCTATCTAAAGGTCAGATGGCACTGGAAATAAGGGACCGGAACTTGATTGTCTCAGCGCCATTTGTACAATATCAGTGCTCGCTTTGCTGGGACCAGTGAATCTTGTTGGAGGTTTCAGTTTCGTGTCCCCTAAGGGCTGTCACTCATGCTGCTTCTGTTAGTGTTTCTGCACACACTGCCCACGGGAGCTGCAGGGAAGCGTGCGCCTCCTCTCCAGCTCCTGTCTTCTGCGTACAGCATGCAGCCATCCTGGGCAAGGTTTCCCAGCCCCCCTGTCCTGCATGCCGTCTGCGCCCTGGTCCTTTGCTCCCGCTGGCCCAGTGACTGCCTGCCTTCATCTCCATCCCACCCTCTATCATCTCCGGCGGCGTCTCCTCCCCCCCTGCCCCCACATAGGAGATGTCACTCCCAGGAGGTGTAAGCACTTCTCCTTTGATGAGCTGTGACACACATCACTCAGTTCCCAGCATAGCGACTCGCTCATTGTATTGGTACAGGCGCCTCTCAGGAGCAGGGCCAGACTTTCCCTACCTGAGGGTGAGCAGCACTTGTAGTGTTGGCTCATCGCAGGTGCACAGTGAGTGTCTGATGGGCCGACCGCGGCGGCCGGCGTGCATCGAGATGCTGTGCTCGCTGGCAGCGCACGGTGCAGAGCCAGCGCCGGTCGCCACCGCGCTTCCCACCCCCAGCCAGTGAGCGGGAGCCAGGACACCTGAGTGGGAGGCGTTGCACGTCCTCTGTGCAGGTCTCCTCACCAGGCCGCTCAGGTTTCCGCAGGATGCCCCAAACTGCTTAGCTCGTCATTCTGTTAACACGCCGAGGTCCTACTTCCAGCAGTTTGCAGTAGGTACACCCAGGACATGCCCAGCATAGGTGCGGCCGTGAACTCTGTCACAGCATCACAGATAGAAGCAACTTTTAGGTAGGATTTGCCCAAAAGAGACGCAGCCTATTTCTTTAAAATGCCCCTAAAGATTAAGTCAGATGAACAGGCTGGGTTTGGTGCACAGGCGCCTCCCCTGTAGAACTGGCCTTTGAAGGGATGCTGTCAGGCTGTGTGATATCTTATACGCTCATAAAATGAATCCCTTTGTATCTGTTGCAAGGAGACAGTGTCTTAAGGACATTATTATGACACAATTTTCCTTTTGTGAATCTTGGGAGAAATAGTTTTCTGATTACTTGTCAGAAGCAACGTGCCTTTCCTGAGAAATTGGCTTGCTTTTTTCTTGCAGGAACTGACTGGGCTCATGTGTAGCATCATAGAAAGAGTGACAGAAATTTGTGACTCGCTTCTTGTAATTACATGGAATGTCACAATACATTTAGGTATTAGCTCCTTTCCTGGTACCTGTGTATTACCATATCCTTGGTTCTTTTCCTTTTTTCCTTTCAAATGACCTGCCTTCTGCATTTGCACTGTGTTCCTGTAAGTTACCTTTAATCATTGTTTGAACCTAGAGTAAGTTCACGCACACAGATACACATACGAACATAAAGCCCTAAGAAAAGTTTAGATCATCAAGTTAGGCCTGCCTGTCAGGCAGACGTTAAAAACAGGTTGCTTCAAGTTTCCTGTTTGTTTGAGTGTTATATTTGCTTCAGGGCATTCAGCAGGATTTTGGTAGAATCCTGTTTCCTTTTGAGCACAATTCAATTATTTAAAGGCTAGTTAAAAGGTAAGGGGAGAGGGGAGTGGTGGATGAGGGTAAACGGGTTCAAATATTGGGTTGTCAGAAAAGTCATTTTTGCAACGAAAAAAACATAGAAAAAAATATGTCATGACTTTTCCGACAACTCAATATTTAGTGATGGAGGAGAACTGACCCTGGGTGTGGTGAGCACACAATGTGATATATACCGTATTTCCCCATGTATAAGACACACTCTTTTTCAAAAAATTTGGGGTCTAAAAACTAAGTGCTTCTTCTTATCCAGTGGTTGTAGATTTTTGTACTTGCATTTCCCGCTTTTTCGCGCTTGTTGTCTTTGCGCTCATTGTTTTGCACTTGTTACCGGTATATTAGGTTACGTTTTACCACATTCTGCCCAGAAATGGCTCAGAAAAGATTTTTGTACAGTACTGAAATCAAGTTAAAAGTGATCCAGTTTGCAAAAGTGAATGGAAACCGTGCTGCTGAATGTAAGTTTGGTCCTCCCCCAACTGAGAAAACAATCCGAGACTGTCTATGGTTGGGAGTTTTGACAGTGATGAGGAGTTGTATGAATTTTATGTTGAATAAAACTTGACTTCAATAACTTTATGTAATACACTTTTTTTCAAATTTCGGGCCCCAAAATTAAGGTGCGCCTTATACATGGGAGCGTCTTATACGTGGGGAAATACAGTAGCTGATGTATTACAGAATTGTACACCCAAAACCTGTGTAACTTTGCTAACAGCTGTCACCCCAATAAACTTTAATTAAAAAAAAAAAGCCTAGTTAAACATGGATGTGGTCAACATTTTAAACCTATGTGACCAATCTCTTCCTTAATTAAAGCATGGTGGTGTCACAAACATTGTAACCCAGTGTACGATAATGACATTACACTGAGCTTTGTAAATGCTGGGCTGACTTCAGAGCACAAAGCGAGCCACGCTTCTCATGTGTTTCTATGCCAGGCTGTGATACCTACTCAATAGATGTGTATTGACATTGGACTTGGTTCTACAGTGTAAATAGCATGTGTAAACATCAGAGTGTAACTGAGTGCAGCAGAGTGACTGAGGCATAAACTCTGGTGCTGGGCCCCTGGAGGGTGACTCACCGGATGTACCGACTGGTGACCTAACAGTTGTGCCTCAGTTTCCTTGTCTGTAATGGGGATAATAATAGTACCGGGGGAAGGGGATCATTGTAGTCTCTGGCATGTAGTAAGCATGGTCATTATCATTTTTAACAGACAGTCTAAATTTGGGGATCTATGTTTATTTTCATTTTAGGTCTCTTGCAGCTGAATGGGGTAAATACGGCATACGATTCAACGTGATCCAACCGGGGCCCATAAAAACCAAAGTAAGCCTTCGTTTGCTTGTCATCACGCTGTGAGTGATTAAGGAATGAAACGTGGACAGATGTACTCTGACTGTCGTGTGTAGAACTTTCCGCGGGTCTGAGTTTACAGCCTTGGTGATAGGAAGAGGGTTTTGCCGTCATCCAGTATGAGAAACAAGGCAGGAGGCAGGAGTGCAGCAGCTGTGCGGCCTCAGCAGGCTTGCTTCCGTGCCCTAATTGGGATCTTTTATGCCATTAATTTTGGCATTTTTGTCCAGTTTGCTTCAATAATCTGTTTTGTTTTATAGTGCTTAATTTTTAACATTTTAAAGATTTTTACTTTGATTGGCATGCTTTTTCTTAAATAACAGAATTGTGTATTTTTAGTTTAAGAAATGCTGAAGAAATTGATCATCCAGGCTTTGTCTTGCCTTAGGTTGCATTTTCTTTGACTCACATCTGGCCTTTTCACTTTGAACACTCAGGGTGCATGTCACGTGACTCGCATCTCATTAAAAATCCTTCACCTATAATCATGGATCCTCACAAATACTCACTACAGCTCGTGATTGTCACCAGTGTGGTCACAGACAGAGCTCAGAAGGCCCCCAGGCCCTCTGCTCCCTCATATTTCCCCAAATAACTTTACCGTCACACTTTGTTTCCAGTGAAAAGCAGGGATTCTCAGTCACCCCCAGGGTGTACTTCTGAAGGCCTAGAGAAGTTTGATACCTTGTTCCAGTTGTAGAAGCACATTGGGAGATACTGCGAAGGAGCCTGTGAGCAGTAGGGAGACCTGGGTATGAAATAGTCACATGAAAAGAGCTGTATTCATTTATTTAGCAGTTTGAAGGGTGGAAAATGGAAAGAAAAACCATGTGAGTGAGTATCTTCCTGGTTTGACACTGCAATAATAAAGAGTCTAATCAAAGAAATGAAGAAACGAAAGCATGTCTGGACTCATGATGCAGATGCTAAGGACTCTGAAGAGAACCCTATAGCCACAGAAGCTCCTTTCCAGGACCTCAACATCTAGGAAAGATCACCTGCGTTTCATTATTACCATATTTGTTGAGTGCCTACTATGTGCAAAGGTGCTGAGAAAGAATCGTTTGTGACAGAATACTGCCATCAGTGACTTTGGAGTCTAGCGTAGAGGTGTGACTTGTACACAAATAACAAGCATATAGTTTTAAAGAGATGAAAGGAAACTGAAATACGGAAATTCTTAGAATGCTGCCTGATGGGGCAGGATGGGGACAGGCTGCCACCCTTTGTCTCTGCAGCCCCACGCCTGCCAGGGGAGCTGGTGGTGCCAACTGTCTCACAGCCCTGTTCCTGAAGACAGCTGTCACCCCAGCTTCCTGGCTCTGGTGTGGCAAAGTCTGGGCATTTTGGTCGTCAATATGTGTCCATAGCCACGCTGGTCTGCTTCTCACCATCAGCAGGAGGCAGCAGCTGTCTGCAAATTTAGTTCTGGCTTTCCTCTCCCTGGGATCTACGTGAATCTGTATCACTACACACTTGTTTTCTTTCTTTCCTATTATTTGAGAAGCAAGGAGAAGAAAAGGAATTTCCTCAGGAATATTTCCTACTCGAGTCACTTGTCTGTGTTTGCTAGGGCAATGGACAGTGGCACCCATCCCTACCCCACACACTAAGCTTGTGCATATTTCCGAGTACTTCCACGTGTGTTTTCTCATCTGATGCTTATAGCAGCTGCGTAAGGTAGCTGAAATAGATGTCCTGATTTTGCAGATGAAGAAACTAAGATTAAAAAGGTTGTACTTTCTAGTAATTTTTTTAGGTCAATACTAGGTAAAGCGAACTGTTTTGAGCTAAAGTTTTGTGGAAGAATTTGGCAGAATTTTCTGTTGCTTACAAAGCCTAAGGTAGGAACAGGCTGCCATAATAACACGCATTTTATGCAAATTTGTTTCTTAAATAGGAAAGGGGCTACATTTAAAAAAAAAAAAAGAAAGCCATCTAACTACTTTCTTAATTCTAAGGGTGCCTTTAGCCGTCTTGACCCAACTGGAGCATTTGAGAAAGACTTGATCAACCAAATCCCCTGTGGTCGGCTGGGAACTGTGGAAGAACTTGCAAATCTTGCTGCTTTCCTGTGTAGTGATTATGCTACTTGGATTAATGGAGCAGTAAGCGCTGTGGTTTCTCTGGACTTTTGGGGGAGGTGGATTTGGGCTGTGGAGGCATATTATGGAACCAGTCCTGACAGTGTTGAATGTAAATATGATTTAAAATATTTATTTAGCTGTAAATGATATCAAAATATTAATATACAGAGGGTGCCAAAAAAATGTATACACATTTTAAGAAAGGAAAAAACTATTAAAATTATGCTGATTGTAACCACTTTGAGCACCTTTTGTAATTGCAGGAGTCAAACGTGACTTGTATTCATCTTTTGCTATTAGTATATATTGAGCATTACAATTTTAATACAGTTTCCCTTTCTTTAAAATGTGTATACATTTTTTTGGCACCTTCTGTATATTGTTTAGCCTATGGGATGGGTTGATTGATAAATTATTTTTATTAAGTAAAAATTACTCTGGCATACATGCCTTTAAGATGATCTTTAAGATTGGGTAGAATTTGAAATTATGGAGAAGGTGGAAAGAAGATTCTAAAAGAATAAATCAAGGTAGGCTAATCATCAATTTTGCCTTTAAAATTTGGGATTTGATTGAAAGTCCAAGGATATATTCTATCCAGTGAGGATGGGATAGTGGATTATGGTTCAGAAACTTTTAAAAAGGAGTCAGTTTCAGAATATTTGTTAATTTTGTCAGGTCATTCGATTTGATGGTGGAGAGGAAGTACTGCTGTCGGGTGAATTCAACAATCTGAGAAAGGTAATGCCGTTTTGTGAGTATAATACTAGCAGCTAGAATCCAAAGCTTTAAAAACATGCAAGGACAACATTAGATTGACCTTTTCTTTTTGTGTCAGGTCACCAAGGACCAGTGGGACACCATAGAAGGGCTGATCAGGAAGACAAAAGGCTCCTAAGATCCTCTGGTCTTCATCTTGGTTACCATGGAAATGACACAGACTGTCTCTATTTTTTGAATATTTTCAAGTCTAATAAATTGTTAATTAACAACCATTCAATGAGTGTGTGCTGTGTGCCAGGCCAGTGGTAGGTAGACATTGCATATTCAAAGATATATAAGATGGGAACACATTTCTTCAAAATTATTTTAAAACTAGAACAGAGGGAAGCGAGTGAAGGCTTTGACAGAGGTAAAAAGTGCTCGGAAGTACAGGGAAAGGACTTTGGAGAAGTCAGGAGAATCTTCGTGGTGGGAGCAGCCCTTGAGTTCCACATGAAACCATGCCCGTGGTGATGGGGCCTGGAGGGCAGGATGCAGAGGGGTGACGGTCGATGCCACGGACTCTGCCTTTCCAGTGCATTTCCTTCTCATGCACCTGGGAATTGGCTTCTTTGGAGAGCTCAGTATTAATTCCAACACATTTTTACCAGAATCTATTTTGTAACTAGGCATTTTAGTTGGTACTGAGCATAAAACATGAGTACTCTACAGCCTTTGCCCTCTAGAAGCTCGTTATCTGTCAGGATCAACAGACCTATAAATATTTATGATGCATTGTGATAGATACCATTCCAGCAGCGTGAAAGTGTGCGGGAGGAAATAGCTCATTCTGTCCCTAGAGTTCAGACTAAGTACCATCTAGGACATTGCATCCCATCTCAGCTTTGAAACAAGAATAGATTTCTCTGGGTAGAGAAGATGCATAACGCTTACGAAATATTTTTGTGTATCATTTCATTTCATATTTGTTTTGACTTGATTTTTCACCCTGAGAATGAAATAATAAGAAAACCACAGAACTCAAGTCCATATATTGTAGCTGTAACTTTCAGCTTGTTTTTAAAAAGGTCTATTTTGCTTTTACAGGCATGACTCATGACATGCTCACCAGACTAACCACCCTCACTGCCCAGCTCCCCAGGAGAGGGGACCAGCTTCCATCCTCTCTCCTATGAGATGTGCCAGCGAACCCAGTCGTGTTGGCATGTATACGCTGTAAGCCCCACATGGAAACCCTTAGTACGCTGTCAGTTACGTGTGCACGGATGGGTAATGCTGTAGGAGTACGCAGGCTGACATTCCCAGTCCACTGGCTCTGGCCGGGACTTTTAGGGTCTTACCCCTTTTCCACACTCTTCCAACAGGTGCCCAGTCTCCATTGCTTTAACACTAACCCTAGCTTCCCTCTCATCTACACACATCTTTCTTCTTGAAATTATCAATACCTCTTGTGGCGTAGGGGAAAAAAAACGTGCCGGTAGTTCTATAAATGACCTTGTGTGAGTTTCACCACTTCCTATTTTCTTCCTTATGAAATTCAGGATTATAATATCAGCTTCACGGGGCTGTTATGTGGATTGAGATTCAACAAGTAAAAACACCATGTAGAATGTAAAACATAAAAATGAAAGGTCGGCCCTCCAGTGTTTTTTAAGACATAGTTATCACAGACAACGTGAGAATACAAAAAAATAATAGAAAAAATGAAAAGCTAACTTCCTCAAGAAAACTTATTTAATACTTGAGTATATTTGTTCTAAGCCTTTGCTTTTTTATTTTTAGGAAAGTAATTTGTTTATATAATTTACACAGTAAAGTACTACTCTGGTGCCTGCCCTGAAAGTCTCTTCCCATCATAACCATTTTCCGCTGCTTTTGTTTTTTTCTGGAATATACACTCTTCCCCTCCACTCATTCTACCAGGGTATCTATATCCCTATTTTTGGTGAAATTAATATTTAGTGTTCACATTTTTAAAACTTTACAAATGTTTTTTCCCAATGTTTTCCTAAGTTTTTAGAACAGTTGAGATTGCGTGATAATTCAGATACTGTTTTTTTTCTATTTCATTGTTTATATATATCGTACTTTATTTCTTTATTGTTGGAATTAGGCTATTTTTTTATTTTTCAGTGTAATATGTACAATCCTGTGAAGAACATCTTCATGCATAAAACATTGTTAGAGTTTGGAATTTTTTTCTCATGATAGATTCCTAGAAGTAATATTATTAATCAAAGATTATGAAGCTTTTAAGACCCTTGATGTACATTTCCAAATTGTTATTCCTAAGGTTTATATGGGTTTAAAACACCCTGAGCTGTGTGTAATAGTGCCCATTTCAACAAATATCTACCAACATGGGATATTCTCACTTTCAAAGTATTTATCGATTTCGTAAGTAAAAATGATAGCTCCTTCAAACGTGTGTGTTAGGGATAGTGAATACTTTTCTACATTTGTGAATGTCAAATGTCCTGTTTGCTTTTTTACCCCATTGGTGGCTTAATAGGGTACTGTCAAATTTTGATTTGTGTGAGTTTGTATACAGCTTTTTGTTCTATTAATCATCTCTTATTAGAGTGTGCTTCATTATTATATGTTGTTATAAATGATGAATAAGTGAGCAAAGCTTGCAAGCATGGAGAGGACAGAAAAGAGACCATGGGTTATCAATTAATTGAAATTTCTTACGAAGTCTGAAAGAGAAACAAGCATTACTGATGGATAGTCACTATATTTTATGACGTACCACCTCTAACCATATCAGTATTTCACCTTCGGAATTATTACTTTGTCATTCAGTACCTCCTCTAAGAGTCCTGCCTCTGTGCACTAATGGAAGAGTTAACACACAGAAAAGTACAGTGAGGATTATTGGTAACTATCACTCACCTGACAATTCATATATGAAAACACCTCCAGGAAATGTTTCCGGTATGGAGTAACAGCTGTTGTCCCTTTATTGTTCTGTGGCTAAAGCAGGGAGAACTTAAGTGTCTGAATAAGAGTTTTAGAGCTGAAACAGCCTTCGAAGACACTATTTTCAGCTCCTTATATAATTTAGAGAACTGAGGCTAAGGCAGGTACGAGCTGCCTGAAGTCACACAGTTAGTCAAGCTCATGTCTCCTGCCCAGTTGGACCAGTTTAAATCAAGAGACAATAACAGGGTCTTTATAAAGAGATACAGGTCTATTGCAAAAGCCTAGCAAGGGGAGAAAACCCATTTTTGTTTTGTTCTTGATCAACTGCATTTTGTTCCTTGAACATAAAAATATTTATTAGGCTTTTTATAAATTCGTTCTCAACCTCAATCCCTTTAATTTGCTTCTAAGACCTTACATTTCTCAACTGCGAGGTAAAATAACCCTTGGGTTTAAAGACTGAGTATATAGTACGTATTGTATAGGAAATCTTGCCTGCTCTAGCTCAGCCACTCTTCCCTCCCGCCCAGGCCCAGGCCATGTTCAGCACCTGCCTCTCTGTTCCTCAGGTCGTTCCACCTGCAGCCTTTGCTGTAGCTGCTGCTTTGTCCTAGGACTGTCCTAAGAATGTCCTCGGTATGGCTAGCTCCATCAGTCAGGCTTCCTGAAACCCTTGTTCACATACCATTAATTGTTTTAAGCTTTTAATTGATGTAGGACTTGAAAAAGTACACACATCACTAATTATCACAAAATGAATCCACGCTGTAACCACTTTCCAGGTAAGAAACATCACCGAGAATCCAGCAGCTTCGCTTGCGTCCCTTTCTCTCCCCAAAACTAACCACTGTCTTCCCTTTTAACACCATAGCTAAGCTGCTTTTGAAGTTGAAGTAGAACTGCACACCATGTGTTCTCCTGTTTCTGGCTTTTTTCTGTGTAGCAGTTGCATCCTCATTGTTATATAATATCCCACTGGATGAATATACCACAATGGAGTTCTATTGGTGGACATTGGGGTTCTTTCTAGTTTGGGGCTAGGCCAAATACAACGCTGCTGTGAACCTCCTTCCTCTTTGAGGATACATACACCTTTCTGTGTTAGGGTGATGCAACCTGAAAGTGAAATTTTGGGTTGTAAGGTGCGCCTTTCCCAGTTTGGCAGGTGCTGTCACCTGGCGCCACGAAGCCTCAGTTTAAGCTCCCACCAAGCGCGGTGTAGGAATTTGCATTTTGCCGCATCCTCACCAGTGCTTAGCACCCAAAATCCTTTTAGCCTTTCTGATGAGTGCGTGGTCCTCTCTCCTTTGTTTTACTTTGCACTTCTGATTAGTAATAAAGTTACTTTTCTTGCTTGTGGAAATTTAGATGCCCTTTTGTTTGTGAGCGGCCTGTTCAGCCTTCTTACACGTTTTGCGATTGGGTTATGTTATTAAGATTAACGCTTACTACTTGGGATACGTGCGTTCCGGAGCTGCATGCGCCCAACTGCTGCGGGAGCTGCACTGGATGGGCCCGGAATGTGGGTTCCGCCCACCGTTCCCACCCCGGAGCGGCTTTCGGGGGCACAGCCTGGGAGGAAGGTGTGAGGCTGCGCGGGCGGCGCACGTGACCGGACCGGAAGGCCTGCGCCAAGCCTGGCGGCGCCGTCTGCAGTGATGTGCGCACCGTCCCTCTCCGAGTACTGCCTTTTGGGGCCGCGGCCTTCGTGTCAGGGGCGCGCGGAGTCCCCGCTTCTTCCCGGCTGGCTGGTAAGCGGTCTTCCCTGCCGGGAGGCGGGCTTGGCGCGGTGCGAGGCGGCGTCGGCCCGCGAGCTGACGGGTCCCGCCCTCCGCCGCCTGCCCCAGGAGGCGGGCCTGTCGCCACGTGTGAGAGCGACGGTTCCGCCCGGCTCCCGGCTGTGCTTCCCGGGCGGTGCCAGGACCGAACGCCCGGCCCGGAGCAGGTGCTGCCGGCCGGCCAAAGCCCCAGATGCATCCCCGTCGCCTCGGTTCCCTTCTCCCCCGGAGCCGCCGTGGCAACAGTGCAGGCCCGGCCGGCTCGCGCGCGTCCCCCTTGCCATGAGCAGCCATTTCCCTACAGAGGAGATGGAAGCGGGCTGCGTATTTCCAACCCCCCCCCCACCCTGTCCCTTTGGAGAAGACCTTTAGCAAAGAAATATTTCGTGTGTCAGTTGGGCCGAACAGTATCTGATATGTCGGGGTTTTTTTGATATTTCTTTGTGAATCTTAATGTCAGAGGCACCGGTGCATTTAATGAGGCATCGGTAATTCACAATCAGCTTTACATTTATGTAGGTGTCTTGGCCTGGAATAATGTGAGCATCCCACCCCTCCACTGGGATTGATCATG